AAGTGAGACGTGAATGAAAACAATTATGAGAGAGTTGTCTGGAATAGCAGGAGAGTGAGCTGGATAAAGAATTCTACTACAATTGCAAATGCAATTAAAGTTCATTTGCAGTTGATGTTACGGGATTGAAATGAGTCCATCAGTATGGTCACGTTCTATCACGTCCTATGGTCACAAAAATCACTGTTTCCTCTCCTAGAAGAGGATACATTTTAATTGCAGAAATAAGAAGCTTGGCCCCCATGAAAACACTGCAGGCATCAGGAAGGTACAGTGTGGTGTCTGGGGGCCGGAAGAACTTATGTTCCTGAAACCAGACCTGGAAGGCACAGCTGTTTTGCTGGCCTTAGCCCTGGGTGGGTCCTGGGTGGGAGTGCTGCATCAGTGGGAAAGTCTCACCATGCACCAGTTTGCTTCATTGTTCTGCCCTTTGTTCTGAGAGCATAGGCTGAAGTCCTGATGAGGCAACTCTAAAGTGTGAGTAAGGATCCAAACACAGGGAAAAGAGGGTGTGAGGGAGCTTGTTGAGGACTCATGTGTTACACCTGGGGAACCCACACACACATCTGACCTGTTGAGGAGAAGCTGGCACCATCACCCTCCAGTGGCTCTCAAAGGACAAAGTTCTGAGTTGGGCCAAGTTCCAACAATAATGATTATGCTATCTCTTTCCTTTAATTTCTAACTTAACTAACTTTATGGAGGTATAATTTATATGCTATACTCAATTAACTTCATTGAGGCGTAATTTACAAGCTATGTACACAAAGCAATGTGTATATATTTTTTGAGATAGCCTTTGAGATTCATCCATATTGTGGCTTATTGCTTTCTATGGATGATTTCTATCCCATTGAATAGCTATACCATAATTTATTTATCTATTGACCTGTTGGTGGTCATTTGTGTTTTTTAAATTAATCAGCAGTTATTAAGTTTCATTAAGGCATTGAGCTCAGCCTGGGGACACTGACCACCACTATCCTGCACATCTGACAAGAAAAGTGAAGTCAGTAAATGGAATTTTTAACATTTGTCTCTTACACGTTGTCTTTCACTCAGGTTCCTCTTTCTGTAGTCTCTGCTGGAAGTTCAGGCAGATGACAGAACAAATGGCCAAGCAGCCAGCCAGTAAGGTGTGATGGCAACTCTAAGATTGCCACAGAGACTTGGTTTGCCTGCTTGCTGTGCAGTTTATTTGTTTGTTTGAACACTTGGGTTTGTGTTGGTTATTTTTACAATTGTGCATTAATATGGTTGCACATATTAATCTGGAATAGGGTCACTCAGGAGTTCTTGGTGATCCACCAGGCAGCCCATTCAGTAAACTAGTTTGGGATGCACTACTGCATAGGAAGTCAAGCTCCACAGAGGCCTCAGGAGTGAGGTTGCACTTGCTTGGGACTCCAACCCTATTGACCCTGCACCATGACCCACTCAACAGGCACTTTGGAGAACATCAGAACTTGATAAAACTGCATTATAGCCACTCTGAACACACATTTAAATTCTCCCATTCAATTATATGTACTCTGTTAGAAAAATAAAGACAGAGCAACTTTTATTCCCAAATGCAAGGCGACCGCTTCATCTGCTACTCCAGAAAAGTATCTGCAGATCCTGTTCTCAGAGATAAAAGTGTCTGGGATTTAAAAGGAGATTGTACAGTTTTTGCAAATCATGTGTTTTGTACTTTATGGGAGATTTAAGGGATTTCTAAGGGTAACATTGACAATGTAGGAGTTTCACTTACATGATGGCTTGATATAAGATGCTATTCTATTAAGAACCTTTCCTCTTACATACATGCTTACAATTTTATTATTTTGTTTGATCTTTACTCTCACCCCATGGGCAAACAGGGCAACTATTGGTATCCCATTTTGCAATGGAGACATCAAAACACAGTAATGAGCAGGGCTGGGAAAAGGGTGAGCAAGCGATGAGAGTCATTGCAAGTACAGTGTGAGATACTGTCTTTATTTAAAATATTGATATTTTGTTCATCATGAGCTTTTTGCACTGACTTTGATTTTTTAAATATTGTGTTAAAATATGACTTACCCTGATTATGGAGTATTTTGCTCCCCAAGCTAGCACCTCAATTGCTTCACTTGAATTCCAGTTGTGCAGGCTGGATGGATTAGCTTGAATCCTGTGCAGTATTCATTTATTGCATGTGAAAAGAGATAAATGTCAGTAATTTTGTATGAGTCAACCTAATGGATCCTCCAGGGACAGAGTCCCATGGGCTTCCACAGATCTCCATGCTTCATGTGACCGCTCATTATTCCACAGATGTCCTCAGCTTGGCTGTACATCAGAACAAGCCACAGGGCTTTTGTTAAAATGAGAATCTCAGTCTGAGGGTGGGGGAAGGGCATGTGTGCTTTCAAAAAGCTCCTCTGGTGACCTTTGAATGACAACCTCTAAATCAAACTGGATTTAAACCAGGGAGTAGAGGCAGCAGGGTCCTGGATTCAAATTCTGATGTCATCACTTTCTAGCCACAAGATCTGAGGCAAGTTACAAGTTCTTGTGAGTATTGAATAATGTATGTGAGTATCTAGTGCTTGACACCTGATAAATCCTGGATAACAGTTAATAGTTCTATGAGCTATTACTTTGTGTTGAGGTTCCAAGAAGTTAAGTGAATCACCCAACATTACACAGCAAGTTAATGAAAGGGTTGGGTTTGGGTTGCAGGTCTGTCTGGCCCCACAGGCAGAGCCAAAATGACTACACTTGATATCCACTAAATACTCCCTCCAAGGATGGCAGCACTTGGTAATAAGCACACAGCATTTTCCAAATGGCCCCTTCTAGACTGCCCTTGGTCAGAGCTTAGCTGAGCAGGCAGAGAAAGGAGGTAGTGCAGTGTGAGTGGGCAAGTCCATGGCTGGGGGATTTCCTCCCATGGGAGAAGCCCCTGTAGCCTCTCTCATCCTGAGTGGTCCACCCACACACTTCTAACAGTTGCTGCCAGCTGCCTTCATTTCCTCACTTCTGATTCTCTCCTCTTAACCTTTTCTGTCCTGGATTCCGTTCCTAGCTCTCAACCCAAACCAGCAACTTCCTGAATGGTGAAATTGTGGGCTCCACTAGGGACCTCTGCCCTGCAGGGTGCTGCAGTAACTCACTTTTCTGAGTTTCTTTTCCCTTTTGCTTTCTGCCACACCACAAGCCAGAGAAAGTGACTTAGCTAGGCCCAGCCACATCTCCTGCCACAGCTCCTCTTCACCTCTTGCTTTTCATATAGCCGCAAAGTCTCCTGGTTCCTAAACTGTTCCTGCCTCTGTGAGGCTGAATTTGCCAGCTTCCTTACCTGCAAGGCCCTCTCCTTATCTTGCTCACCAGGTAACCCTCAGTCATCCATTCAACCAGATCTGATCACAAAGCTTTTTGTGTTGCTCCCACCCCTGCCTGCCTGCAGCCAGGGCACTTCTGCCCTCTAAGGCCACACTTAGCAGTGAGTTCCTAGCATTCAGTGGTATCCACATCCATTTCTGCACCCTGTACTGTGCACTTCTTGAGGGCAAACACCATTTCCTGCATCGCCCTGGAACCAGCAGGCGCAGTGTCTCTGGTGATAATAGTGACATGACGTTAGTGCTCTTTGTCCACCAGGCACCATCCTAGCCACCTGTGGAAAAAGAGGAGATTCCTATAGCCAGGATTCTCACCTGGCCCTGGTTGCCTTGCTCACTACACACGTGTGAGCAATATGTTGTTATTGACGCTATATAAAGAGCTCCGCCATTGCTCTGGGCAGCTGTACAGCTGCAGGTCTGCACAGCTACAGGAGAGCAGAGACTGGAGTGGTGGCTGCGCTGAGGACAGAGACTGAGATGGCTGCTGGGGTGGGAGTACCCGGAGGCAGAGACTGGCCTGCTGCATGCAGACTTGCTCTGAGTGCATGGGATTCTAGTGATTGACCTGCCACCATGGGAATAAAGTTAGATAGAAACCCTTTCACCCCAAGAACGTTCGCTGTCATGTTTTTTCAATCTAACTGAATCCATAGTGAACTTATCTGGGGCTAAAACCAATTGGCAAGACACCACCTCACATGATTTAATGTATTTAATCTGCACAACAAACATTACCATCTTCCTGATTTTCCAAATAAGGAAAGTAAGGCACTCAAAGCTTACATGACTTGCCCACAGTCACACCACTGCCACATGGGGGAGGCGGATTGAGCTCCTAGTGTCTGTGCCTTAACTGGCATGCTATACAACCTCCCTGATAAAGAATGCCAGAGACGGAGATGGGGAAAGGCTTCTCCCTTTCTTCTTCAAGAAGCATGCACACATGTGTGCACACACACAGACAGCATGGGAAAAGTACAGGGGGAAGTATAATTACATGCTTTGAGTGTGGTATACAGCGGCACTCCTCCAGCTTTGATGGGTACATGCATCACCTGGGGATCTTGTTAAAGTATGGATTTGGATTCAGTCTATATGGGATGGGACCTGAAACTGCATCTCTGATTCCCAGGTGACACTGATGCTGCTGACCCATGGTCTGCACTTGGAGGGGCAATGATGAACCCCAAGAGTTGAAGGAGGTCAGAGGAGGGAGATTTAAGTGTGGGCTAGGGAGGTCCTGGGACAGAGAGCTGGGTCTGGGACACTAGCAGGGCTTGGAGAGACAGAGGTGGGGGGAGGAAACCATCCTCCCCAGGGTCATCCAACTCCATGCTCTCAGGGGCCTGGAAACAAGAGTGGTTTCAAGAACCTGTGACTTGTGCCTCAGAGCCACCTCCATCCCCGCTTAACAAGCAGCTGCACTGAGCAGGAGCGCCACATATGGATAGCCCATTTTTGAGAAATGTCTAATCCCAGTGATGTCAGGAAGCATTTTGCAATTTCAGAAATCAGAGCCCAAGAAAGTTCTGTGTGCTCTACAACTGATTACACCAGTTAAATGGAAACAATCTTTCCCCGAGTGGTTCCGCTTAAGGGGAGCATTTCTGCTGGCTCCAGTACTTTGGCCAACTATAAAGCTTAGCAATGGAAAATAAGGTAATTCTCAAGGAGGAAGAGTTCTTGGTCAGCACCAGATAAAGAGCAGCTTTCAACCAAATCATGTTGCCTACAGTGGAGAGCTTTGAAATTAATGGTAATGTATTACCTCTCAATAATGACATTGCCTGGTTTTGTAGTCTTTCTCTTGGTGACATGAGAATGGCCAAGTCAACAGAAAGACTGTTTTCACCATAGACTCCCACTAATACATTTCTGGAATGCTTCGGGCTAGATTGTATGTAATTCTAGTAATGGTGCTGTACCTTCAGCATATTGTTGGGTTTGGGGTCTTTTTCTCTGCTTCAAAATTTGTTTAAATTGTATTTAAATTTTTCCCTTAGATTAATTTTATTATATGTCCCTCCTTTTCATTGTTATCTTATTCTGACACATAGGTTGTATTATGAGATGGCAATGCAAAACAAGAGGGATGAAAAGGTTCCACAAAACTGAAGCCAAGTGCCACATATTTATTGAAGACAATTGCTGTATAATTCTTTAACATAACTTCTGTTAAAACTGACATGCTAATTGGGGAGTGTTTTCTCCATTTCTTGTTAGCTAGGATATGCTTGTATTTTCATAATTAGTTTGTCTTAGATTAAATCCATGTTTTAAAAATTCAGTCAGTTCTGTTGCCTTTATTTTCTCCCTCACAGTTCACAGGTGATGCATTTTTAAAGTAGTTTAGAATTTTTAACATTTAAAGTAATGGGTTAGTGTTTTCCACAGGGATCTCTGATTTCCCATTCTACAATGTCCTTTAGAAGCATTTTCCAAGTCCATCCGTCATCCTCAGTCCTGGTGTTTTCTGGAAGATGTAGGTTCAGGAAAAATTGCAGTTCTGTCCCCTGGCCTGACTGTCATTCTCACCCAGCATCTGTACAGGTGACTGGCTAGAATTTATGAGGGTATAAATATGAAGGTCTGGTGTTCTGCCTTTAAGAATTTACAGTGTGGTATCAGAGAAGGCATGAGTACAAATTACTTTAATAAGTGTTGACTCTTCAGGACTTTGGGGAATATAACATTTTGATATATGATTTTTTAAGATACTAAAATGTTCAAGCAAAGTCAGCTGATCAAACACATTCAGCACCTCCTACTTACTGGGTACAGCTCTCAGCACTGAGGGGACAGACAAGAATAAATAACTGATATCCTCAGGGAGCCCATGGTCATGTCAGAGTTGGCAAGAGGATGTCAGGGTCAGCCCACCCTAAACTATGTCTATATAATTTGTCACCAGCTGTGACTAAACTATGCATAGGACATCATGGTGTGGGGCCCTGGAGATTAGAGCTGAGACCTCTTCTAAATTTTAAAGAATAAAGGGATCAGTTGGAGAAAGGAGATGGTGGCTGGGGCAGGGGCAGGGACATATTTATGATATATTCACAAGGCCTGTTCAGAGAAATACAGATAGTTCCACATGGTTGGGCCAAATTGGGTGGGGAATCTCAGGAGGGGTTGAGAACATGATCAATCAATTTGGACTTTATCCTGAGGGCAATGGGGAGCTCTGAAGGGGTTAGGTTGGGTTTACATTTGAAATCGCTCACTATCATAGATGGGGACAAGCTAGAAAGAGTACTGATGAGGATGGAGAGGAGCATGGCAGTGAGAGATGATGCAAGGCAGTAGCTGTCAGAAAAGAGAAGTGAGAATGCTCTGGAGAAATATTCAAAATCACATCAGTAGGACTGTAGGGACAATGTAAACAAGGGAAATTGAAGCATCAGGGGTGAATCTTAAATTTCTGACTTGGGTTATGCATGCCACTAACAAAAAATCTAACCAATAAACAAAATTGCTCCAGTTAAATGGAAGGCACATTTTCTTAAATGTATCACAGACAAAGGTCATGAAACATGTAGAACTTTCTAGATGAGTTTCATTATGGACAATACTCACTATGAGACTCTGTAACATAGTGACCCCTTCAGGGCTTACTGAAAGAAGAGAACTACTTGCTTCAGCACTAAATGGCTCCAGGTTTATCTATCTATCATCTATGTATTTAAGATAGTTTTCTGAAGTGGCTTGTACTGCTCCCCATTTCTGTAATTTTGTTATTTAAATAAAAATATATTAATAGAATTACACAGTATGTAACTTTTTTAAGACTGACAATTTTCACACAGTGTATTCCCTTGGGATCCTTCCAAGCTGTTTCGTGCATCAATAGTTGGTTATTATTATTACTAATCGTATAAGTCCATTATATGAATGTGCCACAGTTTATTTAGCCATTCATCCATTGAAAAACATTTGGGTTGTTTCCAGATTTTAACTACTACAAATAAAGCTGCTATGACCATTTATATAGAAGTTCTTGTGTAAGCATATGCTTTCATTTCCCTAGGGTAAATGTCCAAAAGTGCAGTTGCTGAGTTCTAGGAGAGTGCTTGGTCTTCCAAGAAGCAACTGATCTATTTTTCCAGTGTGGATGTCCCATTTTACATTCCCACCAATAATGCACAGTTGATACAGTTTCTCTGCATCCTTGCCAACAACCAGGATTATTATTATTTTTACTTTAGCCATTCTGATAGGTGTATGATTGTAATATTTCATTGTAATTTTACTTTGCGTTTTCCTAATGGCTAATGAAATTGAGTATCTTTCCATGTGCTAATTTGCAATTTGTATATCTTCTTCAGTGAAGTCTTTTCATGTCTTTTGTCAATGGTTTAATTGTATTATTTGGTTTTTTTACTGTTCAGTTTTGAGAGTTCTTTATATATTCAAAATACAAGTCTTTTGCTGGATATGAGATTTGCAAATATTCTCTCTCATAACTTGTCTTTTCATTCTCTTTTATAAAGAAAAGTATTTAATTCTATTGAGGTCCAGCTTATCAGTTTTTCCTTTTATGGATTGTGCTTTTGGTGTCAAATCTAAAAACTCTTCACTGAGTCCTAGGTTCTGAAGATTTTCTTGCATGTTTAATTCTTTTTCTAAAATACAGCATCATTGATATACAATCTTACGTTGGTTTCAAATACACAGCATTTACCCAATATTATCAAATCCTCACTCCTTCCAGTGCAGTTAGTGTCTATCAACATAGTAAGATATTACAGAATCATTAACTGTATTCTCTGGGCTCTACTACCATCCCTGTAACCAACCTATGTTGTGATTGTGAATGATTGTGCTTGTTGATGCCCTTCCCCATCCCCCCACCACTCTCCTCAACTCCTCCCCTTTGGTAACCACTGGTCCCTTCTCGGTGACTCCGAGTCTACTACTACTTTGTTCCTTCTGTTTTGCTTTGTTTTAATATTCTACAAATAAGTGAAATCATTTGGTATTTATCTTTCTCTGCTTTGCTTTTTCCACTGAGCACAATACCCTCTAGCTCCATCCATGTTGTTGCAAATGGTAGAATTTGTTTTCTTCTTATGACTGAATATCCACTGTGTATATGTATTACTTCTTTATCCATTCTTCTGTGGATGGACACTTAGGTTGTTTCCATATCTTGGCTACTATAAATAGTGCTGCAATAAACATAGGGGTGCATATATATTTTGAATCAGGGATCGTGTTTTCTTTGGGTAAATTCCTAGGAGTGGAATTCCTGGGTCAAATGGTACTTCTATTTTTAGTTTTTTGTATCAAATACAAAAATTCCATCCTGCCTTCCACAGTGGTTGCACCAATTTATATTCCCACCAACAGTGTAGGAGGGTTCCCCTTTCTCTGCATCCTCACCAGCATTTGATGTTGTTTCTTGTCTTTTAGACAGTGGCCATTCTAACTGATGAGAGGTGATATCTCATTGTGGTTTTAATTTGCATTTCTCAGCAGTGTGGAGCATCTTTTCATGTGCCTGTTGTCCATTTTTATTTCTTCTTTGGAGAAGTGTCTGTTCAGGTCCTCTGCCCATTTCTTAATCAGGTTATTTATTTCTTGGGTGTTGAGGCATATGAGTTCTTTATGTTTTGGTTGTTAACCCTTTACCAGATGAGTCATTTCTGAATATATTTTCCCATACTGTAGAATTCCTTTTTGTTCTGCTGATGGTGTCCTTTGCTGTACAGAAGCTTTTTAGTTTGATATAGTCCCACTTGTTCTTTTTTTATTTTGCTTCCCTTGCCCGAGAAAATGTGTTCAGGAAAAAGTTGCTCATTTTTATATTCAGGAAATTTTTGCCTATATTTTCTTCTGAGAGTTTTATGGTTTCATGGTTTATTAGGTCTTTGATCCATTTCAAGTTTACTTTTGTGTTTGGGGTTACAATAATCCAGTTTCATTCTCTTACATGTAGTGGTCCAGTTTTCCCAGCACCAGTTGTTAAGGAGGCTGTCTTTTCCCAAATGCATATTCATGGCTCTTTTATCAAGTATTAATTGACAATATAAGCATGGGTTTATATCTGGGCTATCTATTCTGTTCCATTGATCTATGGGTCTGTCTTTGTGCCAGTACCATATTGTTTTAATTACTGTTGCTTTGTAGTAGAGCTTGAAATCAGGGAGTGTAATCCCCCCAGCTTTGTTCTTCCTTCTTAGGATTGCTTTGGCTATTTTGGATCTTCTGTGGTTCCCTATGAATTTTATAACTATTTGTTCATCAGGGATGATGTAATTTTCTTTATTGTGGTGTCTTTGTCTTCTTTTGGTATTAGAGTGATGCTGGCCTTGTAGAATGAAATTGGAAGTATTCCCTCCTTTTCTAGTTTCTGTAATATTTTAAGAAGAATGGGTATTAGCTCTTCTTTAAATGTTTGATCAAATTCAACCATGAAGCCATCTGGACAAGAGTTTTGTTTTTATGTAGTTTTTTGGATTGCCAGTTTAATTTCATTGCTCATAATTGGTCTGTTCAGATTTGCTGTTTCTTCTTGAGTCAGTATTGGAAGGTTGTATTTTTCTAGAGAGTTGTCCGTTTCTTCTAGGTTTTCCAATTTATTGGTATATAACTTTTCACAGTATTCTCTCATAATTCTTTGTATTTGTGTTTTACCTGTTGTGATTATTCCTTTTTCATTACTGCTTTTGTTTATGCATGCACACTCTTTTTTTCTTGATAAGTCTGGCTAGAGGGTTATCTATTTTGTTTGTTTTCTCAAAGAACCAGCTCCTAGTTTCATTGATTCTTTTTATTGTTTTATTCTTCTCTATTTTATTTATTTTTGCTCTGATCTTTATTATGTCCCTCCTTCTACTAATTTTGGGATTCATTTGTTCTTCTCTTCCCAGTTTATTTAATTGTGATTTTTTACTATTTACTTAGGATTCTTTTTATTTCTTGATGTAGGCCTGTATTGCTATGTACTTTCTTTTCCTCTTAGAACTACCTTTGCAGCATCACACAGATTTGGGGCTGTTGAATTATTGTTTTCATTTGCCCCCATATATTGTTTGATTTCTGTTTTAATTTGGTCATTGGTTCACTGAGTATTTAGAAGCATGTTTAGCTTCCATGTGTTTTTAGGCTTTTTTGTTTTCTTTGTGTAATTTATTTCTAGTTTCATACCACTGTAGTCTGAGAAGCTGCTTGATGCAATTTCAATCTTTTTGAATTTACTGAGGCTCTTTTTCGTGACCTAATATGTGATCTATTCTGGAGAACATTCAATGTACACTTGAGAAAAATGCATATCCTGCTGCTTTTGGGTGGAATGTTCTGTAGATATCTGTTAAGTCCATCTGATCTAATGTATTGTTCAGTGCCTCTGTTTCCTTACTTATTTTCTGTCTGGTTGATGTGTTTTTGATGTGAGTGGTGTGTTAAAGTCTTCTAAAATGAATGTGTTGCCATCTATTTCTCCCTTTAATTCTGTTAGTATATATTTTATATATTCAGGGGCTCTTATTTGGGTGTGTAGATATTTATAATGGTTATGTCCTCTTGTTGGACTGACCCCCTTATCATTACATAATGTCCTTCTTTGTCTCTCATTACTTTCTTTGTTTTGAAATCTATTTTGTCTGATGTAAATACTGCTAATCCTGCTTTTTTCTCCCTATTATTTGCATGAACTATCTTTTTCCATCACTTAGGTTCAAGGCTTCCTTACTATGTAACAGTCTATCTCAAATTGCTGATTACTCTATTTCAAACAAATCTAAAGGTACTTTCCCACCCCTTTCTTCTTCTTCCTCCTCCACACTTTATGTGTCATATTCTGCACTTTTTGTATATCCCTTGACTTATTTTGTGAGTAGTTGATTCATTTCATATATTCTTGGAAATTAATTTGTCTTCTACCTTTACTGTGGATTTATTTTCTCTGGTGAAAGGTATTTAGCCTGAGGAACACTTGCATTTACAGCAGTCCCTTTAACACATCCTGTAGGGCTAGCTTAGTGGTGGCTAATTCCTTCAACTTTTGTTAATTTGAAAATTGTTTAAGCCCTGCTTCAAATATGAGTGATAATCTTACTGGTTACAGAATTCTTGGTTGAAGGTCTTTCTGCTTCAGTGCATTAAATATTTCATTCCACTCCCTTCAGGCCTGTAAAGTTTTTGCTGAGAAGTCTGCAAACCTGATAGGGTTTCCTTTATAAATAATCCTTTTTCTCTCTCTGGCTGCTTTCAATACTCTCCTTATCCTTGATCTTTGCCATTTTACTTATTATATTCCTTGGTGTTGTCTTCCTGGGGTTCCTTTTATTAGGGGCTCTCTGTGCTTCAATGACCTGAGTATCTATTTCCTTCCCCAAATTGGGGGAGTTTTCCACAATTATTTCCTCAAAGAGACTTTCTATCCCTTCATCTCCCTCGTCTTCCTCTGGTACCCTTATTATGCAAACATTCTTCCATTTGGATTGGTCACACAACTCTCTTATCATTCTTTCCTAGAGATCCTTTTATCTCTCTGATTTTTGGATCCATTGTTTTCTTGTTCCCTAACCATTTACAACTTGTTCAAGCTGTGAAAGTCTAATATTAAATCCCTCCATTGTATGTCTCATTTCAGATACTGTATTCTTCAGCTCTGAGTGGCTTTTCTGTTGAGGTCCTCCATGAGATCTTGAATACTTTTCTGTAGGTCAGTGAGCATGTTTATGACTATTACTTTGAAGTCTTTATCAAGATGCTTGGTAATTTCACTTTCATTCAGCCCTTTTTCTGGTGTTTTGTCTTGTAGTTTCAGGTTGGCTGTTTGCTTCAGCCACACATTTGTGATCAGCACAGATATCTCTGCTGGAGTTGCTGTGGTCAGAGCCACCCTCTGCCTGGGCTGCAGCAGTGGCAAGGGATGCATGGTTAATGGAGTGTGCAGGTTATTGTGTTTGTCTGCCCAGGCCTGTTGCATAGGATCTGGCTCCCCCAGGTAGGAAGAACCTCCTGGGAATGGTTCTTGCAGGTGTTTCCCTGGCTGGGCCAAAACAGGGCTGAGAAAGCTGGGAGGGTCTCCCTCTGCCTACCCGACAGCAAAGTCTGACACCAATGCTGGGCTAAGTGGGCCATCAGCTGGTCATGCATGCAGGGAGAAGCCTTGGTGCAGCACCACTGAAGTTGCTGTGGGTGGAGCCACCCTCTGCCTGGCCTGCAGCAATGGTGGGGGCTGCAGGTGGGCAGGACCAGTACCTGGCAGGAGGAAGGAGCTTGCCGGGCTGACTCCCACAGGCAATTTCTTGGCTGGGCCAAGATGGGACCAAGAAAGCTGGGAGGGTCTCCCTCTGCTTATGTGGCAGCAAAGTCTGACACCATTGCTGAGTCAAGTGGGCTATCTGCAGGCTGTATACCTCAGGGACGAGCCTCAGGCCTGCATTGCCTGTGAGGGTAATGGAGCATCTGGGGTTCCCAAGAGTTCCCAATCCATTTGGGTAGGGGTGGTGGGCTGGGGAGGTATTGTCCACTTGCCCATTCTCTTGAGCAGAGAGCTCTGTGTAACCCTTGCCCCTCTAGCATTCCTCCTGCTGCTGGGAAGTCTTTCAAACTGCCCACTTTGCTTATGTCTTGTGGGCCAGTAGGGCAGTCTGTTCTCCACAAGCTGCTGCAATCTCTGACTTCCTGTTCTGCCTGTCTTTGTTGCCCAGCCCCAGTAATCACTAGAGCACCATGTGATGTGGATACATGCTCCTGGAGCAGACCTCCAGGGTGAGGTATTCAGTAATCCTGGGCTCCTACTCCCTCCCTGTTCCTTTCCTCTTCCTCATGCATGTGGATTGAGTTGGGGGAATGGCTTGGGTTCCACTGGGTCTTGGCTTTGCCCTTTTACTCTTTCCTGTGAGGTCTTTTCCTCTTTCCCAGATGTAGGTAGCCAGTACTGCAATCTTCAGGTCATTTTCAGGTTTAATAGTATTTGCTGTATTTTCGTGTTTTATGGGTTTTGGGGAGGAGGTTTTCACCTTGCCTTCTTACTCCACCATCTTTTTTCCCAGTGACTCTTTTGTATGTTTAATTCTAAAAGATTTATAGCTTCACATTTTACCATTAAGTCCATGATTCATTTTGAGTTGATTTTTCACATAAGATCTGAAGTTTAGGTCATGATTTGTTTATTTATTTTGCCTATGGATGTCCAATTGCTCTGATGCCATTTGCTGAAAAGGCTATCCTTTCTCCATTAAGTTACTTTTGTACCTTTGTCAAAAATCAGTTGGATATACTGTGTAGGTCCATTTCTGCCTTCTTTATTCTGTTCCATTCATCTATATGTCTATCCCTACATCAGTACCACACTGTTTTGATTACTGTAGATTTATTGTAAGCCTTAACATCAAGTAGAATTATTCCTCACACTTTATTCTTTTTTTCCAAGAGTCTTTTAGTATTCTATGGCTTGTGCCTCTCCAAATAAATCTTAGTTATAGGCGTATCTATAGCTACAGATAATCTTTCTGAGATTTTGTAGGAATTGTGTTATAGCTATAGATCAATTTTAGGAGAATTTACACTTTTACTATGGTCAGTGTTACAATCCATGAATAAACGTGGTATGTCTCTACATTTTTTTTAGGTCTTTGGTTTATTTTTAAATCACGAGTTTGTAATTTTCAGCATACAAATCCTATATACATGTTAAATTTATATCTAAATATTTCATTTTCTTTGGAACAATTATAAATGCTACTGTGTTTTAATTTTTATTTCTGTATATGGAATATGATTAAATAACAGAGCAAAGAAAGACATCCTTGCCTTCTTCCCAATCTTGTATTCTGTCTCACCTTTAAGTATAATATTAGCTTTAGATATTTTATAGATGCTCTTTTTTCTTTAAGTTGAGGGAATTAGCCTCTATTTCCAGTCTGCTGAGAATTTTTATTATGGATTTGTTATTTATTATGTGAGTTTTTATTATTAATTGGATTTTGTCAGTTGCTTTTTCTGTATCAATTATATGATTGCATGATTTTCCTTAAGCTTGTTAGTATAGTAGATCATATTGATTGATTTTTGCATATTGTACATACCTGGAAATCCCACTCAGACATGGTATATAAATTCTTTTTATATATTGCTTGATATGTTTTTCTAATATTTTGTTGAGAATTTTTGTGTCAAATTTCTGAGAGATACTGACCTTTAGTTTAGTTTTTTTTTTTTTGTACTCTTTGTCTGGTTTTCATATCAAGATGATCCTAACCTCATAAATGAGGTAAGGAGTGTTTTCTGTTCTTCTTTTATCTATAAGAGATTGTGCAAAATTGGTGCTAGTTCTTTTTAAAATGTTTGTTAGGATATTCCAATAAAATAATCTGAGTCTGTATATTCCTTTCTCAGGAGATTTTAATTACAAATTTAATTTATTTGATAGTTATAGGTGTTCATATTATCTATTTAATATTGGTTGAGTTTTGATAGTTTTTAGTTTTTGAGAAATTGGCCCATTTCTTGTATGTCATGAGCATAACAAGAGTAATAATATTTTCTTATTAATGGCTGCAGGATCTGTTGTAATATTATCTGTTTCATTCTTGATAATGGTGATTCATGTATTTTTAAAAATCTTTATCAGTGTTGCTAGAGCTTTATCAATTTTATTGATATCATTCATAGAACCAGTATTTTGGTTTACTGATTTTCTCTCTTATTTCTACTTTAAATCTCATTGATTTCCTTCTCTGATCTTTATTGTATCCCTCTCAGTGCTGCTTTAGCCAAATCCCATGATTTGATATGTGGTATTCTCACTTTCATTCAGTTCTTATTTTTAAAATTTTTTCTTTGAGACTTTCTCTATGGCCCATGCATTATTAAGAAGCTTTAAAATTTTTTAATTTCCAAGTGCTTAGAGATTTTCCTATTATCTATCTGTTTTGATTTATTGCCAGAAAACATACTCTTTATGACTTTTTTGTTGAGGCTTGTAAATATTCAGTGCATGCATGGAAAGAATGTGTATTCTGCTATATTGCACGGAATATTCTATAAACATTGATCTGATCCTGTTGGTTTATGATATTGTTCAGTTCTTCTATACTTCTGCTGAGTTTCTATTAATTGTTGAAGGTGAGATATTAAAGCCCTAATTATAATTGTGGGTTTATCTATTTCTACTTTCAGTTGTATCAATTTTGCTTCATGTGAACACTCTATTGTTTGGCTCCTCATAGATAGAATGTAGTTGAGTCATGCTTTTCAATTCACTTTGCCAATATCTCCCTTGTAAGTGTTATATTTACACCATTTACATTAAGGTAATTATTGACATCTTAACTCTTTTATATACTATTTTATTTTATATTTTCTATATGTTCCTTCTGTTTTCCATTACCAGTTTCTTTTTTCCTACCCTTCTCTGGGGCTACTTATGCATATTTTTTATTCCATTTTGATTTATTTATTGATTTTCTTTTTAGTTCATCACTTTGAATAGTTTTCTTAGTGGTTCCTAAGGCATTACAGTATACATATGTAATTTATCACATTCTCCTGGTGTCAGCATTTTACCACTTTGAGTCAAGTGTAGAAATCTTACTTCCATTTATGTCCTTTGACACTTTCCATTTTTTAAATATAACTATCTTAGCTATTTCTTCTACATGCACTGAGTACCACACAAGACTGTATTATAATTTTCATTTAACCATCAAATAGGATTTTAAAAAATTATAAGGAGAAGGACGGTCTAAACATATCTGTATATTTACCCATTCCTTTTTTTTCCTGTTCTTCCTTTTTAATGTGCCAAGACTTCTTCTACAATAATTTCCTTTCTGTTTGAAGAACTTCTTTTAGCCATTCTTTAAAGATAGATCTACTAGCAATAACTTTATCTGAGAATTTCTTTATTCCCATTCATTCTTAAGGGATATTTTCATTGGAAATAGAATTCATCATCTATTATTTATTTCTTCAGCACTTGAAAATGTTATATAACTTCCATCTGATCTCCATGGTTTCATGTGAGAAAGTTGCTGTCATTCAAATTGGTATGCCTTTATAGGTAATATGCCATTTTTCTCTTGGCTGCTTTCCAGATTTCTTCTTTTTCTTTAGATTTTTATTTGTATTTGTATCTAGAATTTTTTTCAGATTTTTACTTGCGATGTGTCTTAATATTGATTTATTTGCATTTATCATGTTTAGAAGTGCCTCAACTTCTTGAATGTGTAGGTTATGTCTTTCACCACACTTGAGATATTTTCAACCACAATTATTTTTTGAATATTTTTTCAGCCTCACATTCTGAGACTTCAATGATGTGAACATTATACATTTTTTGTTGATGCACAGATTTCTGAGGCTCTGAACATTTTTTAGTTGATTTTCTCTGTTTTTCAGATAGGATAATCTCTATTCTTCCATTATTTAGATCATTGATTCTTTCCTTTGTCATATTTACCACACTTTGAGTCTATCTAGTGAGATTTTTCTTAGTTTGGTGTTTTTAAGTTCTATAATTTCTGTTCAGTTCTTTTTATATCATATATTTTTGTTTGAGATTTCAAACATAAATAGATCTCAAATATCCATTATTTGAAATTTAAACAAAGTTTTTATTTGTTTCGAGAGTATTTGTAATTGCTCATTAAAGCATTTTTGTTAAGGCTACTTTAAAATCCTTATTGAATAATTCCAGTGTCTGTGTCATCTCATGTTCATGTTGACATCTATTGATTGTCTATTCTCATTCATGTTCTTATTTTCTCTGTTCTTGGTATGATGAGTGATTTTCTATTGTATCATGAATATTTTATGTAGTATGTTAGGAGAATCTGGATCCTATTTAAATCTTCTTTAATAGAAAGTCACACTGTTTTAATTTATCACACTGATTCTAGCCCACTTTTGTGGACTGTGATTTCCATAACAATTTAGTTTTCTGAGCCCTGGCTATGCTATTCTGATCTGCTTTGTTCATCTGATGCTCCCTGCTGGTGCTGCATTGGCAGGAGAGTTGGGGAGAAGGTACTTCTTCAGGGTGCCAGTGTTGTTAGGTGTGGGGTGGAAGACATCAAGCCCACAGAGTATAAACCACTTCCCTGGGCCTGCACACCAGTGGACCATTGCTGGAGGTATCTTCTCAACCTCTACTAGTTACAGCTGGAGAAATATACACCACACCAAGCCACTTTCTGCCACTGTGTGAGGGTTAGGAGATGGCAGGCCTAGGAACCCTAGGGTTTGTCTACAGCCTTTTTTCTTCATTGAGATATTTTATGTATTTGAAATCTTATTTCCCTCTGAAGCCCTATTTTCACTGTGAGTCAAGCTATCAAATTTCTTAAAACTGCTTTCCTAAAATCTTCACCCAGACTGTAGTTTACTCCAGGGAGTAAATCTTCACTGTAATTTATGCCAGCGAATCTCATTCTTATTCACCTAGAGCTTTTTTCATTTTCTCATCTTAAACAATTCCTCCTCATTAGAATCCAGAATGGAATAGATGCTCCTTTGCAGTTTCTTCTACCAACTGTAAGAGATGAAATGAACAGTATAGAAGGTAAAGAATTTATTAGATCCTCAGCTTTGTACAAACAAAGTGAGTTAGATAATGCCCACAGATTCAAAATTCCAAGTTTCTAAAACACCGTTCCTCTATGCCAGGTGACAGCTTTGACTTACAAAAACATCTGGGCCTGAGTAGAGACATCCATGAATATGCATCACACCACCATGTCTGTTTTTCCTCATTATCCTTACTCAGTTGCCTTCTAGCATGCTCCTGCCATCTTGTTTGAAAATATCTGCATCTCCATGATGTCCCTCACTGCCACCCAGCCTCTCTGAAGTATAGTTTTTCTTTCTATTCCTATCACATGTCATGTTTCATCAAGTTTAGTGCTCTTTATGAGACTGTGTTCACCATCCACCATCTTCTGTTAAATATGAGGCTTCCTTTGTATGTTACCCATCCTTACCATGATGTTTTTATAGGTACCTGAGGTCCTAAGTTGCATTCCTAATACTTTCCCAACACTTCTAAACTGATAGTGTTCAACCCTGCACATGTTCAGCACCCAAACCTCTGCAGCCACTCCTGCATCCAGTAAGTCATCATCTTTCCTGCACATACTGTGTACTAGACACTATCTTGATGTTGGGATACAGCCCAAGAAGCTTCTAGACCATTTGGGGGAGACTGAGGCATAAATAGACACAATTCAGTGTGATTGTTGCCATGGCAGAATGATGAGAGGAAGCACTACAGGGTCACACCCAGCCCCGGGGAGCCAGCGAATGTATCTTGGAGCAGAAGCTCCATTGCTCCCAAAGAATGAGTAGTAATTAGTCATGTGGAAGGGAGGAGGGGGGACTTTGTATTTAGACTAAATATATTGCCTGAACCAAAGGGTGTAACCACAAGTGGTCTGGCCTGCACAGCAACAGGGTGGCTGGCTGGCAGTAGGGCTTCACCAGCCAGCTGGAGAATTGTTTGTCCTAAGTGCAGACAGCAGCCACTGAAGGGCTGAAGGCAGAAGAATGACTTGGCCAGGTTGTGTGTTAGCTCACTCAGGCTGCTGTGTGGGCCTCAGTTCAGGGGGTACAATGGGGGTGACACTATGCTAGATGGAGCATAACCAAATGCCACCAATAAACCATGCAACCCAAAACCACTCCTCTTAGCACAGCCAAAGCTATTTCTGGACTTCTATGCATTAGGCAATGCTAGAGCAGGAGTTCCTGTTCTACAAGTAACTGGAAGGAATATCAGCAGGGTAACACAGGTCTCACAGGTGATGGAAAAAAGACCCAAGGTTCATACACATTTATTACAGTATTCAACTGAAAAAAAACCCACCCTCACCTGTCATAAAGCAAAAGCAGTGCTCACAACCCACTCTCCTGCCTTGGGCTGCTCACTTAAGATCTTGTTTTCCTTCTCATCTGCCCTTAGGGTTCATTTTAACTGCATTTTCCCAGAGCAAAAAGTAATGTAGGCTAATGAGGAGGCTCAGGCCTTGGAGTTAGATGAACTTGGGGCCACTGTGTTTCCTTAACATCCCTGAACCCCAGGTCCCTCCTCTGTAGAAAGGGATGATCACACCCATCTTGCAGGATTGATGCAAGGACTGGAGATGATAATCGTCAGTGCCTGGCCCAGAGTAGGTCACTCAGTTAACGGGAGAAGTGAGAAATGCAGCGCTTTCTGCACACTGGGTCCCTGCCTATGGTGCCCCTAAACAGGGAGATAGTTGGCATGGGGGAAAAACTGGAGTTGGAAACATTGCTGCCTCTTTTGTAATGCCCCTAACTAGAATCAGCTTATCAGGGGGGGAATAGTTGCAAGAATTGTGACTTTTGTAAAAGAATATTAGGCAGCTATTAAAAAGAATAGTTAAATCTCTCTACAAATAAAACTAGAAGAATATCTATGAAAAATCATTCATTGTAGAAAACAAAGTGCTGTATTATATGTAGCATGATATCATTTGTATAAAATTAAAAGAAAAACAAGTCTCTCCAGGACTATATATGTTTGTAAATTTTGGAGAACAAGGAGAAAAGGAGGAAGGCCTCACCCCAGCATGCTGACAAAGCTTACTGTAGTGGGCAGGACCCCAGGGGATCAAGGTCAATTGCACCATTATCAACCCTTGTAATGCTCTCTATATTGTTTGATAAATTATATTAAGCATGCTTTACTTTCATAATTTAAAAAAATATAAAGAAAAAGAGCACAAAGGCCTGGACATAAATCTCAGATCTATATCTTATAACCTAATAGATTTTTCAACTTCTTCAAACTTTACTCACTGTTTATAAAATGGGACCAACCCTCCTCCTCCCAGAACTCTGAAACTAAATATGTTAATTCATTAAATCATCTGACAAACATCTATTGAGAGACTTCCATGGCCAGGCTCTGGGCTGGGGTTTCAACAGAGAACAAGGCTGATGTAATACCCCGTTTAAGGACCACATTCTTTCAGCCAATGATACGTGGCATGGGTGTTGGTTTGCCCAGACACAAAACTGAGTGGCCAACAATGGCATTTCTTACCCTGTGGCAAGAGGAGGATCCGAGGGAAGAGTTGGTGGTAGGGGGCCTTTGTGTCTTTCCCTTCAACTGAACAAAGAGATTCAGGATTTGGACATAGGTTGGGGCCTCCTGCACTCTACTCTCTGCAGCAGCTGTCTTCCACCCGGGTTGTGTTTTAGATCCAAAGCCCAAGAAGAGAAGGGTGAACTGCTTTATGATTGTGGTGGTACTTTACCTGATTCTGCTCACCATGGGAAACGTTCTGCTGGCAATTAAAGGTAAAGTAGCCTTAGTCTTGTCTGGTGCCCAGTGGGTGACTCAACCTGACCCCATCTGATACAGGGCTCAGGCGGAGTGGAGAGCCCTGGGGCCACTGCTGCCCACCTACTGGGAGATTTCTCAGTCCCTAGTAGACTCAGTGATGGGGACAGAAGAGGGCAATGGAAAGCAGAATGTGTGTGTGTATGTGTGTGTGTGTGTGTGTGTGTGTGTGTGTGTGTGTGTGTGTGAGAGAGAAAGAGAGAGTGAGAGAGAGAGAGAGAACACTTGTGACCCTGTGTGTATCTAAAGCAGTGAAAGATGTAATGATTTCACATGGGTATGCCATGTATATCTTACACTGAGGATTCCCAACCTCTGAGTGAGAAAGAGCTTTATTAATCAATGTTCGTTTTAACATAATTTTACGTCTAAAACTTCCTAACACAATATTAAGATCACAAAGCAATTCTATCAGCAGACAGTGCAGATATACAAGAAAGCCATGTACCCAACTGTCATAAACACATGTCATGTGCATATTAAGGTCATACATGATTAGGTCAGACCAGCATACTAGTTGTCAAGTATTCATAACCAGAAGGTTGAAAGTTGATTGTGATACCATGAGTACATCTCTAGGCCATGCAGAATGTTCTATGGACATGTAAGGCCATGCCCGAGTGTGTGGTGCACATGTACAAGATATGAAAAAAGCTCTGTGTTCACACTAGGTGCTCACAGCACATGAAAGGAGTGTTTACAAACTTAGAATCTACAAAGTTATGCACATATGGCATAAGTCTCAGGGGTGGTTTCAAATGCCTTGGGTTTTAAAGAATTTCCTAAAAGAGTGCTTGGGGGGTGGGTGGGGGAATCCAGTTTTGAATTTGCAGGAGCAGCTCAGGCGCCTGGAGGTCCCCTTCATCAATGAGTCACTGGCTGCAGAGGACCGTTCGCCCTTCTCCTTGTTCCAGTCAATGAGCGCTCCTCACCTGGCTGAGGATGCACCAAGGCTGCAAGTCCTGCAGGCCCAGCTCAACCAGGTCCATGCCAGGCAGGAGCAACTGCTGCAGCAGGTGGACAGCTTCACTCGGAGCCCAGGTTTGGCCCCTCCCCTCTGGACTGGGACTCCTCAGGGGAGGTGGGGAAGAAGCTGCTTGCTCATGGGCAATGGGGTCTTTGGGTCTGAATTCTCTTCCCTGGCAAGGAGGGCTTCCAGGGCCCTGGCCTGGGGTAAGACCATGGGGGCTAAGACAGGAGGGGAGGACATAAGCTACAGGACCAACGGGTGGTTGCAGACAGGTCTCTGTGAGACAGAGGGGTCAGGAACCTAGGAACCAAGGACCCTGTCTAGGCAAAGTGTGACCGCGAAGAGCCAGTAAGTGGAGCAACCCGCCCAAGACCAGATCTGTGTCACAAAGTGCTCAGATTGATTCATAATGTTTAGAGGGTAGGTAAGATGCAGAGCCTGGAATATTCCCAGGACCACTCCCAAGAAGTCAACTAATATTGGCCCATGGCTGGGGAGTGTGGTAGGTTCCAAACCAATCCAGGTCATGTGAGGACCCTGAAGAGGACAACTGTAGTGTTAGGGATGCATGGTGGCTTGAAGAGTAAGGCTGCAGGCAAGAGGAAATAAAGCCAAAGGTGGGAATAGCAGGGGTACCCCTTCCTGTAGTTTCCTTGGGTCTTGAGGCTGGGCCAAGTGAAACTGTACCCACCACTCTCTCAGGCTGCCCCAGAACAGGAAAGGCTACTTTGAGCAAAACCAGCTCCCAGGTGTACCCTGACAGTTGCAGGACTCACTCTATAACATGGAGCTCTGGGTTCCTTGCTTTGGCTCCTGTGTCTGGGAACAGCTAGGGCTTAGGAGTATGATTCCATGGCCAGGGTCTTGTGCCCACAAGAGCACGTGTTGGACTCAGAGTCCAGGTGGGCAAATCCTCCAGCTTCTCCAGCAAGCACTCAGATGAAGGCTGAGTGAGGATGCGAGGGGAGGTCACAGCTGTGGCAGCCAGCCTAGCCCAGGCTCAGACACTGACACAGTGCATCACTATCTTACAACATCTGAAGGAGCTTGTTTTATTCAATATCAGGGGCCCTTCAATATCTAGGGAAGGGTCCCCAGAACCTTCCCACAGATTTGTTGGTCCTCCTTTGGGTCTTTTTTCTTTCCCCTGACCATGCTTGGACACCATCTTCTGGGCCTTGCCTGAAACATGAAATGGCTTCCCCATTCCACACCACCCACTCAAATCTAAGTCATCTTCCAAGACCAGCCCTCGTGTATCCCCCCAGGCATCCCAGCTGTAAATGTAGGTCTGCTCCTCTCTCCCATAAGCACTCCTTCCAGGTGCCTGTTACCTGATGCTTAGCTTACCACCCCATCTGGCCACAGTCATTTCCAGGGGTGTGCAGCTCATCTCTCACAGGACCTTCACAACATACAATGTAACTCTAGGGGCAGCTTATGGGCTCAGACTAACTTCAGTTCTAATCCCAGATCTGCTGCTTACTAGCTTTGTGACTTTGGGCCAGTTACTTAACTTTTTTGGAACTTTAGTTGCCCACCTGCATGGAAAATAATGGAGATAATTGTACTTACCTCACAGGGCTGCTGTAAGATTCAAGTGAAGAGACATGCAAAACTGTCTGACAATATCAAGTGCTCTCTGAGGAAAAAGCCTGTGGCTTAGTGGTTTTTTCTCCCTCCTAAGCACACACACATTTTGTTGCACATGTGCACACACTTCAGTCCCACTCCTACTCCATTCTGTCAGCTGAGTGGTTGAAAGGTTACCTTGAAAATGAATGTACATAGTGTCCTCAGGACAGGACTTTTGGATCTCATAATTTTTCATTCATGCCCAGATCACACCACTGGCCAGGGAGGGTCTTGAGGCAGCCTGGCACAGAGGGAGGAGTGTGGATGTGGACAACTGGCAGACCAAGGGACAAACCCTGTTTCTGCCTCTCAATGAGCTCGGTGTCCTTGAGCAAGTCACTTAACATTTCTGTGTCTTCCCCTATGCAATGGCAGTAAAGATAGGACCTATGAGGTCTGGTGTGAGGATCAGTCAGTGTAAAAATGCTCAGTCCAGTGCCCAGCTCTGAGTAAGTATTCAAGAGTGGTGGCTTTATTATTGTTGTTATTACTTGCCTTGTTATTTTTCTTGGAAAGACTAAATGAGCTAATGCTGTGTAGCCCCCAGTCTGAAGAGTATTGGCCCCTCCCCTTTCAGGAGATGCTGTTTCAACAACTTCTATCACTTTAGCTGAGAATCAGTGTTTAAACCACTTATCAACCTAGGGGGTTTATCTGACCTTTAAAACCTGCTCCATCACCTGCTGCAAGCAGCATGCTCCCAGAGCAGACAAAAAGCCCACCTCATCCCAGGTGGGGAACAGGCTTACCCTGATATCTCTCCGTCTCTGTCTCTCTTCCTCTACATGAATATACAGACAGATCTCTGATTTACAATGGTTTGACTCAAGATTTTTTTACTTTACAATGGTGCAAAAGCAATACACATTCAGTAGAAACCATAGTTTGAATTTTGAATAAGGATATTTTCCTGAGCCAGCAACATGTGGTCCAATCCTCTCTTGTGATGCTGGACAGCAATCCCCAGCCGCAGCTCCGGGTCAGCCATGTGGTCACAGCAGTCAACATCCAATACACTAATAGCCATCTGTCCCCACACAACCATTCTGTTTTTCACTTTCAGTACAGGATTCAATCAAGTATATAAGCTATTCAACTCCTTATTATAAAACAGATTTTGTGTTAGATAACTTTGCCTAACTATAGGCTGATGTAAGTGTTCTGAGGACCTTTAGGTAGGCTAGGCTAAGCTATAGTGTTTGGTACATTAGGTGTTTAAATGCACTTAGATTTGTATTTTCAACTTAAGATGGTTTATCAGGACATAATTCTGTTGTAAGTCGAGGAAGATCTGTATATATATGTGTATATATAATCTCCAACTCTACCTCTCCGTGCCTCTTTCATGCTCTCTCTGTCTCTGACTACTTCTGTTTCCGTCTTTCTCTTTCTTCTCCCACATTCTCTTCTGGAGCTCAGAAACCAGAGACAGAAAATGGTGATTCCAGCGGCTAGGGCTGTGAAAGGTCTGGGCTCCTCCTGAGTGCCCCCTGCCCACCTTCCCAGGTTCCCTCTCCACCCTGGTCCACCCAGGGGATGCTCTGGTCTCTCCCCAAACCCATGGCCTACTTTGCCTGGTCAGGGCTCCCCAAGATACATTTGGCCATAACGGCCCCTGAAGACAACCAATAGGTGGATAGGAGAGGACAGTTGGGTTCTATTATTTCCATTTCACACATGAAGAATCTGAGGTCCAGAAGCTATGCTGATTTGACCCAGACAGGATTGGAGGGGCTGAGTTAGACTCCAGAGCCTCAGCCCCACACCTGCCCCAGGGGTCAGGCATAACCAGGACAGCCCCTGGTGAGAGGGAACCTAAGGGCTCACCCTGGGAAGGCTCTCTGAAGGGACTGGACCCATCCTGGTGAGAAGTGAAGTGCTTCTCCTGAATGCTAAGTGCAGAGTATCTGGCTTTGATCCAATAGAAGAGCCAGAGCTCCACTGGTGGCATTCCTGGGGCCCACGGGGTCTCTGGGGTTCTCACCTCTTCCCTTTGGCCAAGAAGTGTAGTAGTAGCCCCATCTGCTGCATTTTCACCATGTCCCATGACCTCATGCTGCTCCCCTGAGGCCACTGCTGTCCCATGTTTTGGAGAGCAAGAGGCTAGGCCACAGGAAGGCCCTCCTTGAGGCCACACAGTGGGGCAGTGGGAGCTGGCTGCAAAGCCTGAACTGATTCTTAGCAGTGTCCTTCCTGGAACCTCATACTGAAGTGAGGGCGTCTAGTCCTCAGTTCTGCCTCCACCCTCTGGACCCCAGTCTGTACATATAAAATGGACATAGCACTTTGGATCCCTGAATTGGCCTGTCATGGGCTTTGTCAGCATGGTGCCACTGCACAGGTGCAGGTTTTGCCTTTGGGAGACCTGGAATCTACCAACCTCTCTCCGAACCATGACCTGAGGCAAGGCACTCCTCTACAGTGATGGGGGATGCACTGTAGTCTGAATGGGGTGTCCCCCAAATTCATATGTTGAAAATCTAATGCCCAAGGTGATAGAAGCAGGAAGTGGGCCTTTGAAAGATGATTGGGTAATGAGAGTGGAGCCCCCATGAATGGGCTTCATGCTCTTGTAAGGGTCACAGAGCCGCCTCACTCCTTCTACCCTGGGCAGAGAGAGTGAGAAGTCAGAGGTCTGCCCCCCGGAAGAGGGCCTTTGCAGGAGTCCGACCATGCTGGCTCCCTGGCCTTGGGCATCTGGCCCCCAGATCTGTGAGGACTTCTGTTGTGTATAAGGTGCCTGCTCCATGGTGTCTTGTTACAGCAGCCTAATGGACAGGACAGACCGAGGAGCCCTGCCCTTTTGCAGGTTGTTGTGACCTGAGTCTGCAAAGCCACACTTGGGAAGGTGCAGAGCTACCTGCGAGTCAGGGCCAAAGTGGCACCATTTACCTGGAGCTTTCGTGGGTCCCCACACTGCCGCAGGACGGTCCTGTGTGACCAGCATGTCAGCCCATGTCAGCGGTGAGGGAGTGAGGCTCTGAGCAATGTGCCGATGGTCACACGGTCACCCAGCTGACAGTGCTCCTGCTGGAACCCAGGTCCGTCCGACTCAGCCTTCCCCAGAAGACATCATCTGCACAAGTGTCCAGGCCTGCCAGGCTGGGGGCGTCTTGAAGGAAGGCGCTCTGTCTTTTCTTTCCTTTCTTAGTTTGCCCTGGCTCTTAGCAACAGCTTGTTGAATGAATACCGTGGAGCGAGCGGCACTGTCACCCACCCTGTTGGTCAGGTCGCTGGTGTCCCTGCTCCCCTTCCTCATGTCTCCCAGGTCAAAGAACCCTGGGGAGGCCCGGCCTCCCCCACTCAGCAGGGGACCAAAGAACACAATGGAGCCACCGCTGCCTGCCTCTATCTTCTGGCCCAATTTTCCTTTTCTCCTCCTTGTCCAGGTCCACCAGGACCTCAAGGTCCACCAGGAATCAAGGGACAAGCAGGTGAGTAGGGGCTGCGTGTGTGCACTGGTGTACACAGCAGGCTTCCTCAGAGGCTGTGGAGGGCTGCACACAGACCTGCTCCAGAGCCTAAGCACCCGGCGGGGTGTGTGTGAGGCAGCCAGCCACGCGAGACCCTGACTGGGCCAGGGTGCTAGGAAGCACCCTGCATCCCTGGAAGAGAGGCAGAGCTGGGTGCTCCCATCTACTCCTGGTGCTGGGATCTCAAGCCTGGAAGCAGCACGTGGGAGAGCTCTCTGGTCCAGCAGGGGCTTGGCACATTCGCCTCCATTATGAACTAGCTCTGTGACCTTGAGAACATTCCCTCACCTTTCTTAGTTTCTTTGTTGTAAAATGGAGACAAAAGCACTGTAGAGAGTCGCTAGAGGACTAGAAATAATGAATAAAAGTCCATGATGGTGCCTTTTAGGCTGTAGCCTCAGCCCAGCTGCCTTATGAAAGTCCCCGGCCTGGCTGGGTGCAGAAGTAGGGACCCCGGCTGCCACCAAGCGTCAGAACCCGTGGACTGGCTCACTCAACTGCACTCTCCGCTCAAACCCTCCAAACTTCAAATCCCCGAACAGGTGGACACTGTCCAGATGTGAAGATGCAAAGACGGTTAGACATTACTAGAGAGAGCAGATGGGGTGTACAAGGAGCTAGAGTGACCCAGTCTCTACCCGCCAGGCCCCAGAGGCAGAAAGAATGCTCCACTGGTTACAGAAGAGGACTTGTGAGGAGGGAACACCTTTCTTGAAGAGCCCATCTTTGGAAGGAATTTTATAGGAGGGATCCAAATGAGTCTACTGCTCTATGACCAGCAGGGGCCGGGCCCCCACTCTGCACAGTTGTGCCTCTTCAGTGCCCACAGAGGGCATGGCTGTGCTCCACCTGCAGGCATCCCAGGAGAACACACAGCTCCCTGATGTGAGGTGAGCAAAAGGAAAGCTAAAGCTAAGAGAAATGTGAGGGGGAACAGTTTCATGCCAGGCCAACTTATGACAGGTGGGGACACGGGCAGGGCTAGGAGCTCAGAGGAGAGAAGTGTGAGGGACAGAAGTAGGGGCCTGAGGTGGGCCTGGGGAAGGAGGGAGACTGCTGGCAGTGAGGCAAAATGGGGACTCAAGAAGGGGGACTTCAGGTATCTAGAATTCCCCCTTGATGGCAGGTACCATCTCTAGAGCAATGCTTTCAAGCTGTGGGGCATGGATGAGAACCATGTGGGGTACTTGTTCAAAATGCAGGTCAGACCCGAGATTCTGTTTCAAAGGCCCCACATGATTCTGACCCTGGCAGTTTGGGGGGCACAGTGAGAGGCACTGCCTGAGGGCTCTGGCCGTGATCTTGTCTCCTGCCCTCTTGAGGGTCCCTCCTGTGGCGGTGGCGCTAGCAGTCTTGGCTGCCATCCCCGCTCTGCTCCTGCTCACCTGTGTCACCAAGCATATTACTAAAACTACTGAGATTTAATTTCTTCAATTCAGAGAAGAATGGTAATTAAATTAAAATAATAATAATTGAATTATACATACCTAGCAGAACAGTAATAAGAGTTAGAGATTATATTTTAATCTGTCTGCCACATGGTAGGTGCTAAATAAAGGGAAACCATTATTATTAATAGTGTTAGCAATCTTGTAAGGTGGAAGGGAAGGACGTCAGTTCCAAGATCAGACAGACCTCAGTTCTAATATGGTTCACTAGCTGTGTGACCTTGGGAAAATGACTCAACCTCTCTGACTCTCAGGTTACTCACCTATAAAAGGGGGACAATAATAATAGCAGCCTTCAATGAGGATTAATTACAACAGGAATATAATTACAACAGGAATATAATATACAAACAGGAATTCCTATTTGTATCAGCAAATAGGAATTATTTATAAGAAACTACAGATGCTTGCCCTCACGAAGAGAGCCCTTAAAGGGCTGTGTCAGCCAGCCTCAAAAAATAGAAAGGCCCTTGTGGAAGAGAAAATAAACTCACTCTGGTGGTGCCCAGAAGAAGAATGAGGACCCATGGGCAAAGGTTTTGGGAACCAGTTTCCCTGAGTTAAGGTAAGAGTGGGCAGACTCAGGTGTCAGGGGTTAACCCCTGCCGGGGAGGAAGGATTTGTGTGGAACCCTCCTTGGTGGGACTGAAGGCAGGGCCCTTGCACCAGCAGCCAGCTGGACAGTTGACTTTGAGGATGATCCCAAAGGTGGTCCTCTGTGGTCCCTTTGCAATGAGGAAGGGAGGCCCAGACTTTGTCAAGGCAGCCATGTGGAGTCTGAGCCATACTGGGTCCCATCCCACGCTGACCCACTGCCATACACCGAGGCAGCAAATCCACACACAGACTCAGACCTGGAAATGCTGCAAATAGCAAGCAGAAATGCAATGGTTTTGATTCTTCAGAAGTCAGGACTCCAACCTCCCCTTTCTCTCCTCAAATTTCCTTTCCCATGATCACAAGATGTCTCTTACTCACTGCTTGCCCAATCTACTGCTAGCAGAGACAGGGCTAGCCAACCAAGGGAGACCTGCCCAGTGGTATTGAGATTCTCTGTTCTCGGCCTCAGCAGATGGGTAATGCCAAGGAAGTGAAGTTCAGGAGACACATTTATTTTCCTCACTTCACCTCCAGCTGTGATGGGAATGTTCTGAAGTCAGAACCAGCAGTGATTCGTCAGTTGGATCCAGATTCTGGCCCTTTTACTAACACAGCCCCACTTCCCCAAGTTGTCCCTTCTGATGGAAACATGGAAGTTACAGCCATTCAGACCACTCTATCCCAGACCCTGCTCAAAAACCTTTATGCAGCCGAGTAACTGCCATAACATCACAGTCTGGCCTGGCTGGCTCAGAGCAAGAGGGCACCAACAAACTCCCTCAGGGAAATTACTCTTGGTCCCTTCTAACAAGTGCCATTGGGCCCTTCTGCCAAAGTGAACCCTCTGCATGGCCAAGAAGGACCTTCTTTGCTGCTTATATCTGAGGCGACATGAGGTCTCACCTGCGACCCAGGTCTTAGGGGTCTTTTGTTTCCCGCCAAGGAATAGTCCTCCTTCAGGGATCCAAACATTCTCATAGAATCTAATTCCCAAGCCTTGGCCCTGACATCACTCCAAGCTTAGACCCAGAAAGGTTTGAATGACACATGTTTCTTTCTCTGGGCTTCAGACCATTTTGTCAACTTTCCCAATTCACAAGAGAAGGCCTGCATCCTTCTGAACTCTAGGAAGCTAATTAAGTGGAGCCTTTTAACCAGATTCCATCCCAAAAAACCAGTCCCAGGGCCTGAGCTCCAGAGCTGCTCCAATGGGACTTGGACTTCCCCAGCTTCCTGAATACCCGCCAAGCCAGTGGGTTACTGATGGGCAGACCCTGCGCGGTGCGGCTGGCAAGGGCTGGGCAGCCCTCTCCTTACAGTTTGAGAAAGGGTTGCTGAGTCCTGCCTTGTGAAGAGCCTCCCTCAATTGATATGCACCTAGCAGCGGCAGAAAGGAGGAGGGAGCGACAGAGGACCGAGGAGAGGATAGGCTGGGATGCACCTCGAATGCTGATGACAAGTGGAAAACTTGAAACCTTGGGCATCAGGCTAGCCCATGGCTGAATTGCTGGCAGGAACACAGTGTGCTGCAATGTTTTTCTCTCCATCAGTTCCTCAAAGTTCTATTCTCAGCATCTGGGATGTTTTCTGGTATATTCAAATTTCAGTGTAGGAGGCTTAAAAAATAAATTCCCCAAATGCAAATAACACTACGAGCCGGGCAGCATGGCTTGAGTCTGAGCTGTGGTCCCTCCCACGGGGACCAGGGCACTGACCAGAGCCCCAGAGCCTGGCTTCCAGGCCTTCTGCTGCCTCTCAGCCAGGCCAGGTCCCCTTGACCACATTTCATGAGTTTATGTCTTTTCTCAGGGACAGGGTGGCATGCTCCTTGAGGGTAACCATCATACCTTCCAAATATTATGAGCACCAAGTAGGAGCTCAAGAAGTCTAAGTTTGGAATTCGGGTGGGATGGGAAGTGTCAGAGTGGGATCTGGTGGCCAGGTTTGCCCTCCTCCCATACATAACCACGACCCCTTGGATTTTCAGGAAGCAAGGGGGAGAAGGGCACCAAAGGAGACACAGGGGCCATGGGACACCCTGGAGCCCAGGGGAGTAAAGGCGACTCAGGGGATCCAGGCTCCCCAGGTAAGAGGTTGTGTAGTCAGGTCCACGCCTCTATGTGTTCCCTTTTTTCCTGGTATGCTGAGCTAAAGGGGGGAAAAAAGCCCTAAAAGTCTTTCCTCATTTTAGGTGTGGCTGGAAATCCTGGAATCAAAGGTGATCAAGGTAAGAACTGTGGAAATCAAGGTAACATCCTGCTACCACTGTCCCTGGGCAGGACATGGCTCCCCTGTCTTTTATTTCATTGTGGTATTAACCTAGACTATCCGGGTTTCCTAAAACCTGGCTTCTCCTAAGAGGAACAGAGCAGCAAGATTAGTTGATATTCTTCTTTAGAGCGTCACCCCCCTCTGTTGCCCAGGGGGATGGTGGAGCTGAACATCCAGAGCTCCTAGTAAGTCCATAAGCCCCAAACTCTGCAGCATGAGTGGAAAATATTAGTAAATTACAGAAATTGTAATTTTCCTGCCACTAAAAGGACAAGTTCATGGCTTCTAAAGACAGATGTTTATAGCTGCCCAGGGAACATATAAATGTTAAGAGGTACACGTCTCATTGCTGAGAACAAAGATGTGTTGAGAGGGTGGGCAGCCAGGCCCTCTGCCAACCTCCTCTAGCCTTGCAGTCATGACTTAACTTTCAGGACAACTTGGAGTGAAGGGTCTTCCAGGCCCTCCAGGTGCGACAGGACCCCCAGGTGCCAAGGGTGAGCCTGGCAGCACTGGTTCTATTGGACTAACAGGTGAGATCCTCGGTCCCATGGTGGGCATGGGGAGTTATGTCTGAAGATCCACACAGACCGACCCTCATGGCCCATGGGGCATCTGTTGCACAGGACCACCAGGGAGCCCCGGGAGTCCAGGAGCCAATGGTGTAAAAGGAAGCAAGGGGGACACAGGTAACAGAGGGTGTGGGTATGTGGGTGGGTTGCTGGATGTCAGGGATAGATGGGGTGCACTGCCTCTCAGTGGGCCCATCAGAAGGAGGCAGAGGATCTCCTATGCTCTGGACCCTGAGACATTCTAATTAAGGAGGATATTTTCCTCTGCCAGGACCTTTTTAACTTAAGATGCTGGGCTGTCCTTCTCTACTAGGATTCCTGGAAGGCCTCCAGTGCTATGATCCAACCTCCAACATACAGAGGAGAGTAGTACTCCTCGCCCACATCACCTCTTGGCTTGCTTTCCAGCTGTGTGCATAGTTTCCTCCTCTCCTGAAGACCTGCTGTGGAGCCCCAAGGGCTAGGGCTCTGTCTTCTGGCAGGAGGTTTTGAGAAACCCCTAACACATTCTCTCAGTGGGACTCACACTGGGAGGAATGACCCACAGTAACTGAATTCATAGAGACTAGTGTATAAACCATCATCCAACTTAGTCTAGGTTACAAACTGTCATGTCAACTTAGTTTACTTTATAAACCATTGTACCAGCTTATTCAAGGTTTTAAACCATGAAACCAATGTGATATACTTTATAAGCCACAATTCTAATTTTAACCAGTCACTAAATTAATCTGGGCACCTACAGTAGTTTAGAAAATCTGGGCCATGTGTTGGGTGTTGGGCCCGCACGATGCATAAGACCTGTTCCTGCCCTCAGACAGACAGGTTGGTGCAAGAGACAGGCAGACAGACTGTGTCAAGCACACTCTGATGTGGGCTTTGGCATAAAGAACTGTCACATGCCATTCAGAAGCTAGGTTCTGGCCCAGAGGGGCTATAGCAGTGCAGGGTTGTGAGGAAGGGCTGGACATCTGCCTAGGGTGTCTGTGGACAACCTGCCACAGTGCCCTCCTCTGCCAGAGCAGAAGATCATGCTGTGTTGACAAACTGGATGCCCTCATCCCCAGGCCATATACTGATCCATACCAGGACAGGTCTTCTCAGTTCTCATTGGTCAAGGGGTTAACAGATTGACTGATTGATTGATTGATAAATTCCTTAAACAAATGTGTCTTAAGTCTGTTAAATGCTTTAGGTTCACAGTAGCCCCAGTCTGGCGGGGGGTGGCAGAAGGCAGACCAGTGCAGGCAGGGGTTATGTAGAACTTGAGTTGAATCTTGGAGGATGAGTGGAGCTTGGCCATGTGGAGGAAGGGAAGAGGAGCCTAGAGCTAGTGAAGTCAAGGAGGAGTGAGGGGTTTCTCTATAGGCTGGTGTCCCCAGGATCTAAGGTTGGGACATGGAGGCAGGTGAGGAGTTCTGGCCAGAGGGATGAGTGGGGTCACCTCCTGGTGTGCCTTGGACTCTGGCCCTTGCACCTTTGGGGCTTTCCTTAAGGTGGCTGGGAGCCATGGCACCATCATCCCTAACATTTGCTACCCTCCCCTTCCACCCAGCTTAGGGCTGGTTCCTTTTTCATGGATCATGTGTCAGGGTGGGCAGGAGATCTGCTGCCTGATGCCATGTAGATGCTACCTGAAGGCCAACAGGAAGTTCTTCCCTTCTGGAAAAGCCCCATCTTGGTGTGGTGTTCAGATGTCCCTGACTTGTTATCTGGCTCCTTCTAATTTTATATTTCCATCTTCCTTGGTCCCAGATCTTAGGGAGTCTCACTTTGGGACCTGAGACTGTCTTGACCTTGAGTTTTCTGCTTGGCTTCTTAGAGATGCTGACTTTCATCCCTCAGTTATAAACAGGGGATCTCCCCTAAGTGATCTGCCCCCCACCATTGCCAGACTAATGGTTCTTGACTAAGCAAGGATATGGGAGTAAACCATGATTTTACCTACAAGGGGCACTGTGCCCACTCCCCAAGCCCCCAGGCTTGTCTCCCACTCTCAGGGGGTTAGGAATCTGGTCCTACATGCCTCCTGCCAGAGTTTGTATCATAAGAGCAGCTCCTGACAATGAACATTTTTGTGATAACCAATGGCATCAGCATTCTTGTTAGTGCAATTTCACAGTCACTTGCCCAAAGCCAAGTAACCAGTAAGAGACATAGCCAAGGTTGCAATCCAGGCTTGGCTGACCCAAAGCTTAAGTCCTTAATCCATCATACTCTATCATGCTGTCTTCCTCCCCAGACAACCAGAGAGAGCCCCCTACCCCTATCAGGGCGCTCTGATAAGTGATACCTTCTCCCTCAATCCCAGGCCCAGAAGGATCACAGCAGAAACTGCAGTAGCTTCTTCCACTCTTAGAAGGAAACACGAAGCTCTCAGGCCCTATTATGGCTCTTCGTTATTTACCCAAGACCCCATTTTAGCGCCAAGACCTTTGGCCCACAGTCTAGTAATCATTTCAACTCCACCCTCCAGCCCTTGGATGTTGCTGAGCACCTCTGCAGGGATCTCCATCCGTCAGGCCTAGTGATGAACACCAACCAGCAAATTCTAAGGGTTATTCCTTAATTCCAGCTGACCAAGCAAACATGATGAATTACATTTTCAGTTTGGAGCTTGTAATCATTACAAATGATGTAAAATTGCATGTTTCCCACACAAATCCAAATGTTTGTCTTGATCAAATAGCTGATGGTCCACATGGACATCTCAGAAGGGAATTCCCATAGAAATATAATGTGGCTTAGTATAGCCAGGTCTATATATCATTCTTAAGTCCTAGGTTAATGAACTTTTGGAGAACTTAGATTTCTGAAGTGGGAGAAGGAGGGGTGAATGGTGAGCAGTAGCCAGACCTTCTCATCATAGAAGATAAGGCATACTTTTCAATGCCAGGACATCGGTATTCCCCAAACTAGAGGTACTATAGTATCTGCCTAATTTTGATTACATCAAGACAGTTTTTCAAATTGATGAATTTTCCACTTTGTAAATAAAATCATTAATCTCTCAAAACACTATCTACCTGCCTTGGATGAAAACAGTGAAATTTCAGTGCACTGGCTTGACCTGAGTAACAGCTAGATCTCACTGTTATTTATTAGTTATGAAAAGAAGTAAGAGGTCTGTTTATTATTAATGATGCCTCTGGGTCAGTCACTGTGACTGGGAGTTTACTCCCAGGATCATAGTTCACCTACCCACACACCTGAGTTTCACCATCTGTGTCTTACGTCTGCGGCAGCAGGGTCTCCCAGAGAGCAGACCTTTCCATCAGGATCTCACAGTTAATATACACGTAATCTGAGAGCTAATTCCAAAGCCTGATTCCAAAGTTGTGTTTTTCCAGATTTTGTTGTATAGAATAACAGAGTGTAGGACTCAAGAGAAATCAGAGTTGCCTTTCTCCTCCCTCATGCGCCCCCACCGCCACTCCACAGTAGATAGAATAAACCTTCCTGCTGTCGGGAACAGTCACTAACCACCAATTCCAGTGGAATGTTTCCCCTTGTTCACACCTCTTGAAGGAGAGATTCCATCTCAGATTAAAGATAGTGAAGGGGAAACTTCTCCTGTTGGTAAGATAAACTTCACAGTTTATTAAGAAGGGCATTATCACTCAGAACTTTCTTCAGTTGTAATTTCCTTCACCATTCACAAAACAGGGTTTTATCAAATCACCCAAATTCAGTTTTTTCTAACCTTAGATATTTCAAATGACTGCAAAATCATTTGATTTTGCAAAAACAAAAATAAAATCACAACAAAACTAATTCAGCTTTAAATTCCATGGCCATTTTGAAAAGTCATGTTTGTTTGAAAATGAGGAAGGACTCATTTCAACTTGGAACCATGGTATTTCTGTTTCCTCCATTCCCACCTCATGAAATAATGTTAGAAGCAGCCAAAGCACTTAAATTCCAGAACACCAACCCAATCAGAAATCCTGCATCTCAAATGCCTTCATGTCTAAAATATAACAAGAATCTGAGTTTTGTATGTCCTTTTATTTTGTTCTTGAGGCAAAGCCAAAGTGCAAATAACTTGAAGTCTGTTTTCTCATCTATATTTTAAGACATTATATTTTAAAGATAAGCAACAAAGAATATTCTGTAACAACAATAAAGTCCTATATCATGAAGATAATTTCTGTTAATTCTATTCCCCGTATCTAAGTACTGAGTTAGTCCAAAAATTTATTAAATTTTACCAAATCATATTACTAAATTATCACTTATAGAGTTTTTTGGTCTCCTATCCATTATTTTACTTCTTGCCACATGGTTCAGTTTGTCAGTCATTAAATCAATCCTAAATTTGCCAAGCTGCACTTAGCCTATAAATTAGGATGGTATTTAAGGAAGTTGTTTAATATACTGAAAATTTCTATATTAAATCAGTTGGGAGACCCAGTCTCAATTTAGGCTTGCCACCGACTAGCTAGATGACAGTGGGTCAGTACTTAGCCTCCGTGGGCCTTGGTTTCCTTGCTCTGTGCAATGTGAGGAGTAGTCTAGAGTAATAGCTAGGTCCCTGCTAGCTTGACAACACTCTGGGTTTGAAATAGGGAATTTCACCCTGGAGCAAGAACATTCTAAGATTTTAGGCAGAACACCAGCTGAACAATAAGCAATAGGAAGGCAAGCTTTCTAACTAAATGATTTTCTTGGGAGAAAATCCTTTCTCTAGATAAACACCTTCCAAATAAGTATTTTGGGCCCTCCCAGCTGGATAAGTCTGTGATACCCAAGGAAACCCCATTTGCTTGTGATCAAACGGAAAGGTCCGACATTCATCCACTTACCCATTTAGCTTTACAACGTGTTCTTCTAGATCTTATTTTTCAGCCATTTCTTCCTCTCCCTGATTCAGTCAGGATGCTGCCTGGGTTTATAGTGAATTACCAGTCCCTCAGTCAATTAGTCAATGCACAGCCGCTTGGCAACCACCCTCTTAGAGTCCAGGCAGGCTTGGAGAGAAATCACACAAAGCTCAATGCCAATTTCCTCTCCTTGAAGAGGGAAGTTTTGAAGTCAAAACCAGCACTCAGCTGTAGAGTCTCAGATCTATCCCAGAACCAGTGGAGCAACAACTTCTGGGGCGAGCCTGCAAACTGCTTTTGCACAAGCTGTGTGCCAGGGCCGCTGCTGTACACACTAGTTTGACTACTCTTTTAGGGGCAAGGACTGGCCCAGGACAGGCTGCAAGTGTCTTTGGAACCAGGCGGTTGGTCCCAGTAAACTCCAAGAGGGCATGAGCTGGCATGCCGGGGACATGCCAACACAGGGGGCAGGCTCAACACAGGCCACAACCCCAAATTCACTACTTGCTCCCTGTGTGACTTGGCTAAACCTCCAGCATCTCCGAGTGCAGACTCCCTCCTATGTAAAGAGGGAGATGGCACTACCTTGTGAGGCAGCTGGGAGAAGGAACAAGGAGATGAATGTAAAGCCCCCGGCCAGGAGCCTGGCACAGTGTAGGCAGCAGCAGATGTTGAGTGCTCAGGGTATGAGGGGCTGTCAAGGAAGGTGTGAGAAATGAAACAGGGAGTGTAAGGCCCAGGGGACCATTGACCTAGTGATTAGGGGCTTCCCTGTGGTTCCTCTCTGTACAGGGTGTAGGTCATTCATTGCTTTGGAGATAGCTGAAAAGACACACTTCCTTGGGAGGGGGAAGTAAGGAAAAGTCACAATGTCTGGGGTCCCTGAGCCTTGCTTGCAGGGATAGGCTATTAGAATAGGAATTTCTGCAATGTGACACCTTTCAGGAGGCAGACAGAGAGGACCAAGAGTCCAGATATGGACCATTTTTCTATCCAATAAGAACCAAAGACATGTTTCCAAATGTGGCTTCTCCTCCCTAACCTTGACACATACAATTCAGAAACAGGTAAGCAAAGAGAAAATGTCTGTCACCTTCGGCAGCCTCAGGTCAACAGAAAACATTTACAGGGCTTGCTGGGCAGCAAACCTGGAGCTCAGGCAAGGGCTTCAGCCCCAGTGTCTGAGGCACTCTGGGAGTGGAGACAGGATGGGGAAAGACAGACACATGCAAACGGGGTTCATGGAGTCTTTGTGGCACCATGTATTGAACAAATGCCAGGTGTGAGGTTCAGTATCAGATGCAGACTCATGGCTGACTCAGGAGACTCAGAGGAGAAGAGTGAGGCCCAGGGAGGAGGACACCTCGTCCCGGGTCACAAAGGTGGATGCAAGGCTGTCTGACTGTAACCACTTCGCTGCCTTGCAAGGAAGTGTGCCAGCCATGGGTGAGGCCACAGAAGGCTTCACAATCAGACACACCTGCCATGTTAGCAGGTTTCACAGGCTTGATCCACGTTCTCCAGGGAAGCCAAAGGAGTAAGGCATTCTAAATAGAGGAACCAGAGCATGCACTAATGGCCTGGTGGGCTGGGCCTGCCAGCCAACATCTGATCTTAAAGGCACCTCCAGCACTTACAAGAAACTCTCTGAGCCTCAGTCCTGTCCCCATCCCTAAAATGAGAGGCTGAGCTAGCTGCCCCCTTAGACCCTCACAGTGCTTCCTGCATCTCTTGGTACCAAGAGACACTGGGACCTCTGACCCTGCTCCCAGACAGTGCCCACCCTTAGGCAAGTCATCTGAAAGGCTGGGGATCCAGGCCTCCCCTTGCTTGTTATTCCAAGAAGGGGTCCTGAAGAGGCCCACCAGGCCCCTCACCTGCTCTCCATTGACCAGAACACAGCAGGTGCTGAGGAAAGTCAGGAATTGAAGGGGAAGATAGGAACTTCCTCAGGGGCCAACTTACCCCTGGCAGTGAGGGTGACTGAGCTCCCTGTGGTTCTGGTGATCACTGAGGGGTGAGCCTTTGGTTAGGGCTGAGCCTGTGGTAGGGAGGGACCCCAGTCAAGGGCATGGTAATGAGCACAGCTGCAGATAAACAGCTGTTTGCATCCTCATTGTCACCTCCAGTAACTATTACTTCACTGTCAATAATGACCTTTCATTTCCCCAGGTTTGCATAAATGTCTTAGAGAATCTTGTCTCTCTGCAAAAAAAAATCAGTGCTGGCACTTAAAATCGAGAGACCATGATGTTGCTAAACTAATACATTATTATCCCACAAGGACCCAGCATGATGCTGGGGACAGTGGGCCTTCTGTGAAAGTGAGCAAAGGGATGAGTGGGTGAAAGGGAGTCAGGCAGGCAGGAAGGGAGGGAGGGGGGCAGGGAAGTTGTTTCACATTAGAACTACAATTAGGATCATCACCAATGATTGCAGATTATTTTTCCATTTTCTGGACAGGAGACCCTATAGCCACATGAATCTTTAGGTACACTAAGGCCACAGTGAAATAAACCAACAAATGCTATATGGAACACCTGCTCTGGGTGAGAGTCCCTGAAGCTCTTGGTAGCCACTGAGTCCCCTCCAGTCTTTTGGAAATAAAGATAACTTTATTTTCAAAACATCTCTCAATTCTTTTGCAGTAAAAGGTACCAGGAAGGAATGGAATTGGATTTAGGCACCAAGTCTAAAGATTATTCCTGAACAAAAAAGGCCAGCCTGTGAATCTAGGGTCTGTCTGCCTATCTAACCCAGACTCATCTGATACTCATCCAATTTCACCCCAATGTGTCCCCATTTATCTGCAGGCTGTCTCCTTTTATGCTCTGGTAAAGAGGCTTTAAACAATTGTGAAGAACCAATGTATCTTTCCATCTGAATTAATCAGACAAAAGGTAGAGGTTGTCTAAGATTAAAAGCGTATAATATCTAAGGTTTTATTATCTTCTCCCCTCTCTTGTATTTTGATCTTAGGACTTCAAGGACAGAAAGGAACAAAAGGAGAATCAGGAATTCCAGGTAAAGGGCCAGCTTCATTTTAATTTCTCAGAATGCTGAGCAGAAAGGCTTGTGCTCCGAGGGCTGGTTGGGGTGACTTTGAACGTGGTGCTGTAACCTTTCCCCCAAGGTGGCCTGGGTCCAAGCCATTTGAGGCTAATACTCTAGGGCTCTGTCACATAAGACTCAAATTCTGCCCCTGGAAAACCTGGGCGATGACAAAGACTCAGTGACTGATGAGGTGTGGAGCGAGGGACAGGGGCTGAGGGTGCTGGAGTGTGAAAAATGCCAGGACAGCTGGAGGTCAGGTGGTGGCTCAGGCCCTGGAGCTGGGCAGCCTTCCCCTCCAAGTCCCAGGCCGGCTCCTAGGCCTCTGTCTGCTTCACCGCGTCGGCTCTGGTCCACCTCCATCTCACACTGGCTCCCCATGCCCCGCCCCCTCTTCTCCCTGCAGTTTCTCACTAGACTATTTTTTTAAGTTCTTTTTTTGTTTTGTTTTCTTATTTTTTATTTCTATGTTTTTCTGTTTACTAGACTGTTATTATCATCCTTGGCTTACTAAGCCCTTGTCTGTAGCTGGTCACACTGCCTGGCAGTTTTAGTGTTTCTAGTCTCCTCAAGAGCCCTACCTTAATGAGTGCTAAAGCGAATTCTCAGACAAATTCCTCCAGCAATCTTTCTTCCTCACGAGCTGGATATTCTATCCCGATTTTAACTTCCTAAAGGAGAAATGGAGGCCTAGAAAGTTCTAGGAACTCTTCGCGAGTTCTATCATGTTCTCCCAGTGTGGCTAGAGCTTCTACACAATTATGTTGTCCAATGAAGACCAACAAATGCTGGGATTCTGTCAGCCATTTTCACCTGCAGGTTCTCAGCCAGCCACAGGGGAGTTGGGAGATCAGAGTTTCACACCCCTCCATCTACAGCTGGACCAAGGACACAGACTAAATAGCCATTCATGGGGGAAGTGTGAGTTAAGGACAACTCATTCATTAGACACTAAGGTGCTTGGTCCCCTTAGGACAGCAGAGCAAAGCATCTGAGGGAGGTGGTCTCTCTCCTCTCCAGGCCCTGCAGGCATGAAAGGAGAAAAGGGGAGCCCAGGCCTGGCAGGCCCCAAGGGTGCCCCTGGACCAGGCGGCCAAAAGGGAGAACTAGGAGTGAAAGGTAAGGGCTTTGCTTCTGATTTATGGGTTCTGAGGGGAGGCCCTGTTGTAAGGGGTTTGGGAGTTTCCAGAAGTAGAAGGGTAGAGGTATGCTGGTTCAATGGACAAGTACTGAGCTGGGATTGCCCTTGGCATGGAGCATACAGAATGAACAGGCACAGTTGGGCATTCAGATGGGCAGATGCAGAACATGTGCCTCCACCTGCCCAGCATGTCCCCTGCCACTCCAGTTTCTATGACCAACTGTGTCTTTCCAATGAAGAAGATGCCTCTGATTCCATGTCTCTACCTGTTAAGAGTCTCTGGCTAATATAGCTAAATTCTGTTATAGCTTAGGCCCATTTCTGCTGCTCGACCATTGGTGCCCATGGCACACCTAGCCCCCAGGTCACCAGCAAGGCTGGAGGAGATAATGTGGCCTCCTCCCCACTCCCTTGCCCTCTTCCTCACTGCTGGCAAAGGAGGGTGAGGGGATCCTGGCTTGGCTTCCTTCAAACTGTGTGGTTTTACTCCTCATGACAGGATCTCCTGGGCCACAAGGAATAAAGGGAGAAAAAGGTCAAAAAGGTAATTGCTATTTCTAGTCTCTTTAGAGTCAATGCTATACATAAAAAGGGTGTGCATGGTGTCAGGGGAGGCTTTGGTTTTCACAGAAATTCCTCATCTGGGGGAAGAACTCTTAGGTCCCTCCCTTGAAGGAGCCTGCCAGGAACACAGCCACACTGCTGCCTGCCTGCCTCCCTCCTTCCTTCTCTCCTCTTCTCCCCCCTCTCCTTCTTCCCTTTCTTCCTTTTTCTCTCAACTTTTCTGTTTTTTCTCTCTATAACACAACGCAAGATGTGGTCAGCCAGATTTGCAAGCTCAGCCCACAAGTCCCTTCCCCGTGGCCCAGTGCCTGCAGGCCCACGTGCACAGAGGCTGCTCTGGGTTGTGTTGGCGCCAGAATGTGGGACCCTCCTGGCTTTGGGGACAGCCAAGCAGGCGGGTTTCTTTTGCCTAACTATAGAACTTTCAAACATGGAGAAGCAGTGGTTGCATTCACACAAGCCCTGGGGTGCTTTCCTCACCTCACCTGTGTGTGCTTCCACCCAGGCTCAGGCTTTGCATCTGTCAGGATTATTGGCACCAGGAACCGAGGCCGGGCTGAAATTTACTATAATGGTGCCTGGGGCACCATTTGCGATGATGGGTGGGACAGTCTGGATGCCACGGTCTTCTGCCGCATGCTGGGTTACTCTGCAGGAAGAGCCCTTACCGGCGTGGGAGCTGGTAAGTCCGCAATGGGAGCCTCTCGCCTTGAGGTGCCCCGACATGGGCTTTCTCTCCCTTGGGGTGTTGGCACCCTTTGGTTGCAAGTGACTCAGCGTGATTTGAATGAAAAGAAAATGATGGGTTCAAGCAACTGGAGAGTGTCTGCAGCTCAGGGCCTCAAGCTGACATCCTTCCAGTGTGGGGGAAGATGACCAGGAGAAAGGTGGCCTCTCTTCCCCAACAGTGACAGCAAAGACTTGGTTGGGGTTCTGGATGGCCTGGCTTGGGTCAATGTCTGCTCAGACCTGGCAGGACAGGCAGATAGGCGTTCATTCCAGCTATCTGGAAACCAAACGACTGGGCTGTGATCATCTTTAAGGAGAAGGTATGAAGGGAAGAGAAAACAAAACAGAGTGGGAGCTTCTGAAATCAATTCTGGAAGATGCCCTGGGCAGCTAAAGACTCAGCCTGTGTCTTTCAGCAAAAGGTTCCAACTTTCAACGAAGAAGTTACATCCCCAGGCTGAGACAACCTTTTGGCTGTAATAGCTGAGCTGGCAGGGATGATAAGCACCTTGCTACTGCTCCCATCCTCTAATGCTCTCTGTTCTTACTCCACCCCAAAGTGCATATCTACTTCTTAATCTGAGCTCAGTGGATTCTAAAACACCTTTAAAATAGGCATTTTCCTTGTATAGATTAAGCCTACATAGTTTGTCACACTATACTGTAAATTACTGTAATCAAATACAGATCCTCCTGGGGTTACATCTGTATAAACCCATCATAAGTTGAAAATGCATGTAGTACACATACCTACTGAGCACCACAGCTTAGCCCAGCCCACCCTAAACATGCTCAGAAAACTTACAGTAGCCTACAGTTGGCAAAATCATCTAACACAAAGCCTATTTTATTATAAAGTATTGAATAGCTCATGTATTTGATTGAATCCTGCACTGTAAGTGAAAAACAGAACTGTTGTAGGGGTGCAGACGGTTGTGAGCGTGTATGTCATTGACCTTGTGACCATGCAGCTGACTGGGAGCTGTGGCTCACTGCTGCTGCCCAGCAGCATGAGAAAGGATTGGACTGCATATCATTACCCTAGGAAAAGATCAGAACTCAAAATTCGAAGTACAGTTTCTACTGAATGTGTATTGCTTTCTCACCATCATAAAGTAAAATCATATCAAACTGTCATAAATCAGGGATCGCCTGTAATCCAATTGTTTTCCTCTGAGCTCTTGATCTCCTCTCAGTTATATCAGGAGGGAGTAGGGTAGAAGAATGTATGATGCTTTAGAGCCTAGGACTGGCCTAGTTAAAAAGGTATTTGAAGAAGATGGATATGGCTGTAGTGAATTAATAGGAAAGAGAGAAGGAGATTTTAAGAAGTGAATCGATTAAGCATAAATACTTGGATAAGACTTTTGTTATCAAAGGGTAGAGAGCAGAATCATTCATGGAGAGCAGCCCAGTGTCAGCACCTTGGGCCTGAGTGGAAAGGAGAGAAGTGGCAGGTTACCCCTAGGAAAGGCCCCCAGTAGGAAGCCAGACAGATGGGCTGCTCTGTTTTGACCTGAACCCCTACTCTTCTCTCCCTCCTTGCTGTCTCTGTATCTAGGCACCGGGAATATCTGGCTGGATGATGTCGCATGTCAAGGGACAGAGGACACCCTGTTCACCTGCAATAAGAGTAACTGGGGCTCTCACAACTGCAACCACAATGAGGATGCTGGTGTGGACTGCAGCTGACCTTGCACAGCTCTTTAACACTCTGCTTCCAAGGTGTCTGCAGGCAAAGACACTCAGCCCACTTGGGGGAAGGCCAGCATTCTCTGAGGTGTTCCCTGGGAGGGGGTGAGCAGCCTCTGTCATGCCATCACTAATAAAGCTCAAAGTGCTATGTGGCAAGGTCACTGGCTATGGCTGCAATCACTATTACTGATTGACCAACTGAATTAAACCAAGAAGTTAAAGCCCTTGCTCTGAGCAACTTGGCTTCTTTTCATGGTTTTCCTAGGTTATACACTCTCTGCATGCATCACATGCTTCCTCTCTCTCTTCAGGCTTTGTAGATAGTTTTCATGAATGCTGAACCTGGGAGGGTGAGATGCATGTGTAATGTGACTTTCAGGTATCATCATTCACACTCCACCTGTGAGGAGATCAGTCTCAGGACATTAGGAAAATTGCCCAGGATCACTTGTAAATGGTAGAGCCAAAGTTAGAACCTAGGAGGAACAGTGGAAGGGCTGGGAGATGGGAGATGCAGCAGCTGCTGCTTAACTTCCACCAGGACCTCAGCACTTCCTCCCTCAAGTCCTCAACGAGCACCCAGAACCCAATATGCACTTTCTGAAGCTGCAGCTGCACAGTCGTTGCACCAGGGTCAGAGATGCCAGGGGACAGAAGAGCTGTGGACCTTCGTGGGGAAGGGGTGTGGGAAGGGCACTTGGAAGCTGGCTGTTTTAATTTGGCAGAAAACTCTATATAATCATTTACCTTTTTTGGCATACTGGGGTGGAGAAGTGGTGGGTCAGGGAGGAAAGAAAACATTTTAAATCATATCAGGGGTTCTCGGATATGATTTTTGCAAATATGTAACTCATGTGCCTTATCAGCACCTCTTTATCTCTCTAATTTTGTTGTCTGTTTCTTATCTTCCAAGGTTTTTTGCCCAAGGGAAGGAAAGGACAGATACTGTCTGAAACATCTCTCACATTGGAAGCTCAAAGCTGATTTCCTGAGCCTCTTTAGAACATGACAGCCATGAAAATAGAGTTGAAAGAAGAAACAATTTTCTAATTTTTTCCTTGTAGCTTATTGAAAGCCAAGCCTGGCTGACTTGATCATAGTGCTTTAAGTGAGGGAGGTCTGAGCTGCGCTTGTGGTGACAGCCCCTCATTGGTGGATGGGGGAAAAGGAAATGAGGAGACAGAAATAGAGCTGGAGGTCCTCCCTGGCAGTCACAGGCCCAGCTCCCCCAATCTGCATTTCCTGTCTCAGGAATTGAGTCCTTCAAGAATGATGCAGTGTGGGATCAGTTCCTGTCTAGGCACCACTTCCACCATCCTTAAGGATGTGCTGGCCAAAACCATGTGCTTTCTCTTTCTCTCTCTTTGTCTTTCTCTCTGTCTCTGTCTCTCTGTCTCTCTGTCTCTCTCTCTCTCACACACACACTACCCCAGGAACAAACAACTGTTTATAGGAACAAAATAGTCAAAATCTTTGCAGAGAGGATGGACCATCCCTCCCCGACAGCAAGGAAGCTCAGAGATGCTACTGCGGCTTGGCCACACCCAACACTTCCCTTTCTGGGCTTTGGTTCTCATCTCTTAGCTTGACTCTCCAACCTGTACTTTGAAAGTACACCTCTCTCCAGAGCTCTGATTATATCTGTTTACCAGCTGCCTCCGCATGGGTTCCTCAAAGGTCAGGCAGCTAAAGCTTGATTCATTTTCTGTCCCTCCTGTGTTCTCCATCTCAGCCAGTGGGTCCTTCCATCCAGTGTCCAAAACAGAAACCAAATGTCAAACACCAGTCCTTCCTTTCCCTTTCCTCTCTCTCACCATGCAGCAAGTCTCACTAATTCTAGCTCCCAAATGTCTCTCCAGTCCATCCAGTTCTATCTCTGCCGTCATGGTGGGCCAGGCCATTAGCACCAATGGCATAGATGCTTGGAACATCACCTAGTTAGTCTCTTTCCTCCACTACATGCCACCAACCACCTGTTCATTTGCCACACAGTAGCCTGAGAGAGCTTTAGAAATGACAAAGCTAACCAAGCCATTCCCTGCTTAAAGCCTTCAATGGCTCTGTATTCCTTTAGGCCATGGGCCAAACTCATCACATGGCTTACAAGAGTCCCTGAAGATACATCTCACACAATCCTCCAGCCACCTTGATGTTCCCTTTCCTATTACCTCCAGGGCTTTGCTCATGAAGTTTCTCTTCTAAAAAATCTCTTACATAACAGGCTCTTGATACATGTTTTATGATTGACTCCCTGAATAAATGAATGAATCCATGAACAAATAAAGGAATGTGGGAATGCTAAACTAAGCAAAGCAGCTCGCTTCTCTGTTCCAGCATTGCCTCATAGTCTCTGCTCAGACAGGAGGTGCATCCTTATTATGCATCATCCTCTGATTATTGGGACTGAAGCCCTCCCATTCAAACACTCTCCCTGATACGAGGGAATGGTTTTCTCCAAAGGCAAATCTAGTCCCAGGCCTGTTAGATTTTTTAAGATTAGCTTTCAAAACAAAATCATGGGACCAAGTTTCACTATATGTATTGTAAATTTTAGAAGTTCAGATCTTCCTGCTGCCTCAACATCCCCACAAACAGGCTGTGAGCCTCCAGTCCAGGTGACCAGGTACACCAGTGTGATGAGGTGAGCCTCTGACACAAGTTCCCCTTACTACACGCCCTCCATGACCATGACCTAGTGACACAAAGACACATCAATTAAATCTTCTTTTACCTTTTGCTTGTGTACCCCAACCTGACCCCCAGTTAAGGCCTTTGCCCATGGGGTTGCACTCAGCCAGCTCCCTTGGTATTCTCTCCTTATAAACCCCTCTCAGCCTGCACTGACTCTGTCTCTACAGGACCTATGAGTATAATGAACTTTGCTTTCCCACATCTCTCCTGTGCCCCTTCTCATGGCAGCCCCTGACTGGCCATCCCCTGGAAGGACACAGAACACCCAAGTATCACATAATACAAGTCACATTATTCCCAACTTATAAATGAGCAAACTGAGGATCAGACAGGTTAAATGATATGGTGTGCTGGCTCCAGTTCACCACCCTTATCTTCATGGTCTCTGCAATGTGACTCTGCAGCTCTTATCTTCAGAAGCCAGATCTGTTGATCTTTCACTCTCTCTCTTGGAATTCCAGCCATATTATGGAAACAAGTCCAGGCCAGCCTGCTGGAAGATCAGTGAGCATATGCAGCAGGGCCCAGGTGCCCCACTGGAGGCCACCCTCTGTCAGCCCACCTACAGCTGGCCACAGTCAGATTAGTGAGCCCAGCTGAGATTGGGCAGGACTGACCCACATCCAAAGAACTACTTACTTGCACAACCAATCCATAAACTCATGAACCTCATAGATGGTTGTGGCTTAAAGTAACTAGGGGTTGGGGTGATTTTTTTTTTTGTATCATTAATCTACAACTACATGAGTGGAGTGGTTTTTTATACAGTAATAACTACCTGATAGCATTAACTTGACTGAAGAGACAGGTAGTAAGAGACAGAGGGGGATTCGAACCTAGGTCTGTCTGATACCAGAATAATTAAGAAAAGAGAATTAGCTCTGCTTGCACCTCTGCCGGGGATTCCTCTGATAAGCTCTCAAGCTGAGCTAAACTGAGGGAACTTCCCCTTCAGAGCCATAGGGGTCACAGCACATGGCCAGAGTGTGGCATGCTGGCTCTGTGGCTGATCAGAGGAGTGAAAGAGGAACTGGTAAAATTAGCATGGCAGCATTCTCAAAACCAGAGAATGGTAGATCCAGGGCCCCTCTGGGACCCTGAATGGTGGGCACGATCTCCTGATCTCTGGATGACATAGTCATCCTCTTGAAACAATCCTGCTCCCTCATGCTTCCCCTTCCTGGAGATGCTGTGACCTGCAGGACAGATGCCGGAGCTGAGCAGATTGGCTGGGTGGGACAGCGACAGCAGGACGCTCAAAGGACCTTCTGTGCACAAGACTCTATCACTGTCCTGCCTAGCAGGACAAGGCCAGAGAGTTTCCCAGCATTCAGCTGTGAAGATGCAGCTGAGAACAAAGATCCTAGAGCCAGAAGCCTGGGTGAGAATCCTAGTGCTGCTGCATAACAGGCCTTTATCTGGACAATCAAGTCATTGAAACTCTCTGGACCCTGGTTTCCTTGCCTGAAAAATTGAGACAGTAATAGTTCCTTCCTCTCAGCGTTCTTGTGAGGATTCGTTGAAATGATAAGTAAAAAGAAAGGATTTACCGTGGTGCCTTGCTCAGCGCTAGTTATTAGGATCCTTAAAACCATTCATCGATCACGCCTTGCCCCACGCGCCCCCCCAACAAGTTGCCCCACTGAGCACTCTGCACCAGGTAGATGGCCCTTCTCAGGCCCTCGCATCTGTGCTCGGAGTTGCAGAATGGACTAGGATGTGGTGCTGTGGGCCCTCTGGGGGGCAAACACTGCGACAGAGTTGGGAGCAGGAGATAAGGATAACGGTGAAGGATAAACGGTGCAGGGAGCAGGACTGGGTAGGGGAGCCTCAGACCAGGCACCAACTCTGTAGGGAGATGCAGAGCAAAGACTGCCCCTGGGAGGCGTTGCGTGCTGGGCAGTAATGGCCAGGCTCTGGTCCCAGCCGCCCCACTCACGTCCTGGCCGGTGCGGTCCCGGAAGTGCAGGGCCTGGACGGGAAGTGGAGGAGGAGCCTGAAGGTGCAGCCCTGCGGCGGGAGGCTGCAGGGCTCCCACCACTGATTGGCAAGGTGTCTCCAGAGCCCAGAGATGCAGAAGCGTGTCCATGGCTGCTAGAGATCATTAGCTTAAAAGAGGGTGGGATTTGATATCAGAAATCACTTCAATCTGATATAGCACCAATGACCAATTGTGTGGCTTTGGGGAAGTCACATAACCTGAGTTTCTGCTTGTCCATCTGAAAGTGGGCATGATGATGGTGATAATAAAAATAAAATACTACCTTATGTAGATTAACTGCTATGCCCTTGATACATACTGGGGACTGCATAACAGCAGCATTTATTAGAACAGCTTCAGACTCCAAGCCTCCTTCTAATCATGTCTCCACACCCAGAATATCTTCACTTCTTCCATCCACCACTCCAGATACTGTTTCATCCTTTAAGGCCCAGTTAAAATTGTGCTTCCTTTAGGAAGCTTTTCCTGATTGCTCTCACTACAGGGAAATCTTCCCTGTCTCTCAATCCCTATAGCCCATCCATGTAAGGAAGGAAAAACCAGTGCAGAATCTAAGATTTTTGAGTGCTCTGTGCTACTGTGTGCTATGCACCATACTAGATGTGTCATACTTTTGTATTGGTTATCCATGATCATATTTAGTCTTCACAGCAACAGTGAGTGGAATGGTCCATTATTATCTCCATTTTATAGATGGAAAAATTGAGACTAAAAGATATAAAATGACTTTCCTTTGGTCATCAGGACTCATCTCCAGGCCTCCTAGTTCTGCATACTTTTTCACTTGCACCATAGACTCAGAAAATGCTTATTGTTGCAACATAGGAATCTGCATTTTTAAAACAGTACATGACACTTACTTGATGCAGTTGTTCTGTGGAGCTGTGGAGGGGATCAGAAAGAAAGGAATTCAATCATTCAAACACTCTTCAGTTCCTCTTTGGAGCCGGATAATCAGAGGTGAATAAGATCAAGTCCCAGGAATATAAACCTCAAATCACAGGAGCGACCATAGACCACAAACAATATTTTTCTAAAAGTTCATCTTCACTTATAGGAAAAGAAATGCAAAAAATGCACAATTTATATCCATGTCTAATTGGCAATTTTAGAAGTTGGTATTGGTCAGAGGACAGAAAGAAACACTGTCTCTCACTGTGAATAGAAACAGATGGATTTGGGGGTTCAGGGGGCAAGTGGAATTTGGCAAGCTGTGACTTGAGCTTTTTGAAATAGAAAAAGAGACTAATCAGAAATGCCCACTGTATTCCTTAGTTATTGCTGCATAACAGACCACACGAAGATCTGGTATGTTACACTCATTTATGCTCATTCATTGCTGTAGGGGCAGGTCCACTGGAGACTGGCTGACCTTGACTGGGCTCAACCAGGCAGCTGTTTCAGGCTGCAGGTCCAGCTGAACTGGCTTCTTGCTGTGGGGCAGGCTTGCACTGCCTACCAGTGTTCCCTCCAGAACTTGTCTCCTGGGGAAGACAGCACAAAAGGGTAAGCAGAAACCCTTGCCTTTGGTATAAGGGGCCTGCTGGCATCCGGCCCCTGCTGTCTTCTCAGCTTTTGAACTGCCACTTGCCACCTGGTCCCAGTTTACTCTCCAAGCCTGAGGAGTTTCATTCAGTCCCTCAGAACAGCCATGGTCATCCATGTCCCCTTCCTCCCACCCCATATCTTCCAGACTTACACACCTGAGGTCAGCCAGCATTCAGCACAGTTTGGGAAAGCCGTTCATCACCTCTCTGCTCTGCAGGCAGGAACTGTGTCTGTCTTGCTACACTCTCGCTATACTTTATTAAATATATATATTTATTTATGTATAATTAATATAAATATGTTAATAGTATTATATAATAAAACAGTATACTTACACTATATACTAATTAATATATTTATATTAACATATCAAAATATTTATTCTATCATACTATATTTATACATTAGTAATATTATTAAATATAATAATATATTAACATAGTAATATGTAATAACAATGATAATATATATATTAGTTATACATAAATATTTAATGTTTTTATTATTTATTGTTGTTAATATATCTTATTAAGAGATAAATAAACATGTTACATATTAGTTAAAATATCTATATATTCACTATATATAATAAATACATATTTAATAAATGAATTTTTAATGCATATGCTTAGGTTTAATGTTATAAGAAAATTGGAAGAAAATACACCGAAATATCTGTCTTTGGTGATAGGATTACAATTGATTTTACTTAACTTTAGATTTATTCCATTGTTGATTTTTTTAATTTTTTATATTTTTTCCATGACATGGAGGTTGTCTACCATGAGTATATATTTGTAAGCAGAAAAGAAGTAAACAAGTCAATGCTCAGCATCAAAGAAAGAGCCTAGAATCTTCCCTCTCCTGAGCTCAGACTTGCAGTCTCAGTGCTCCTGTGTGTCCCTGGGTGTCCTGGCACACAGGACCCATGGAGGACAGGAGGTCTGGGTCCCGGGGAGCACCTGTGCTGTGCAGGCTGCAAAGAGATATGGGCTGCAGCCAAAGGGAGATGGGAAGGAAGGAGAGGACTTTATATTTTATAACAAGATATAATAAGTCCTG